CTCCGCCAACCACGCGTTTCGATCGCTTCCGCATTTTTTCATCTTCTTATTTCTCAGCACCCCATTATTCAGACCCGGTTTTGTCTTCGTACCTTCACTCCTCTTCCTCGTCCTCCACGTCGCGCTCGGTAATGTATTTTTTCTTCGTGATGCTCTTGTTCTTGTATTCATATATGTATAACATCTTGCATCTTGCGCCTTCGAAGGTTATATTCAATGCATCGTGCGATTAGTGGTCCCGTTTCTTTCGTGGAAAACAACGGCGCATTGCAAACTGGACGCCCACCCTGGGGGCGCAAACTGTTTTGGAGGTCGCAAAGTTCTTTTTAATCTTTATGCGTTTATTACGCCATTTTTATGTTTATTATCTTGATGGTTGCGCAATGATGTGCAATGAAGGACAAGCTAAGCTTTGGCTTTTGTTATGCAACAATATTTTCATGTTCTGTGATGTAAATCTTTTCCAGCCGAAAAAAATTCGAAGAAATTGTTGCTTTTGCACATTTATGCTTCGGTGATGTCATTTCTATTAATCAAAATGGCGTCGTGTCATCGCTTGAAAGTTTATCGCATGATTTCTCTTTCATTTTAGTTTCTATCGTGGAAATCATCATCTTCTTCATCAGAGATAATTAAATTTCACTTTCAATTGCGTTTTAATGTTATTCTCAATCAATTTCTAACCAAAAAATATTCTTCAACGTATTATATTGAAGAGGAAGTTTTGTTTTCATACCAAGTTTAAAAGCGATAGCTTTTGTTGTGCATTGTTGGCGCATGCGTAATCTAATATGCAACCTAACGTCCATGTGTTATGCTGTGTAAATATGCATTATGTGTACGGTGTGTTGCGTGTGTTGTGTGCATGTGATGCGTTCGCGAACGAAACCGAATGTGAGTCCAGTAACCCAAAGCCCGCGTTTAAAAATGCACACATTCGCTGCGTATACGCATTCCGCACGAAAGCTTCCTACTTCTGTTGCTGTCGGTTGCACAGATTGCACCTGATTGCACCTTGGGTCGCGACGTGCGTGCCGAATAGTAAAATGTGCGACGCAAAATGGCGAATTCTACGACTGGCACGACCGGCACTCGCAATGGGTACGCATAATAATTGATAAAGCACTCCGCGACCAATGCGAACTCAAAGTATCCAAGTGTACACTGTATACAGCAATTAAATAAAATCACAAAAACGTTGACTTTAACTACCAGAAATGAAAATCTTAAATTTTCTCCAAAAAACAAAATTTACGTTGTTTTGTATTTTATAAAATTTAATTCAGGCATGTTTGAATATACAAGCGGTTCACGTTCACGTTTGCATTTCTAACGCAGTCGGTTAGTATTCGCGATTGATTTATCAAAATGTGCCAGTGCGTGCATTCCGCGAGCGCGATTGTTATTCCTGTGACGCATTTTACGGCCTTCCGCGCGCGCTTGACCGAAGACGCATTCGCATTCGTTTGAATGCATTTCGTATGCGTGTCGAAAGCGCGATAATCGAATGTGAGTTGCTATGTCTTTGGAGCACATGACCGGCAACGGGGCAGCTCGCTGCAACAATAAAATGGCGAATGACCGGGAGGCACATAAATCGCCAACTGCGTGCGTTTGAAATGGTTTGAAGTTTCTGGAACTTGAGGTCGCGCAGGAAGACGTGCGTTAGGTGCGTTCGCAAGTAAAACGCTTCTGTTTTACTAAACAATACACAACTGCACTATAACAAAAGTGAATTAGTAACGTTCTGCTTTTAGGGACTTTTGTTTGGTTACAAACAACTTTTGTTTTTTCTGTTTACTCCGCCATTTTGCGAACATATAAATGGTAATATTTAATTCTCCATATCTATGGAAATATTATAGATAGAGCCGAACTTTAAACGTTAATTGGTTCTAATTTAACATAAACCAGTATTAAAATAACAAAATCTGTAAATATCATAATATCAAGGAAGCTATTCAATGATAATAAACAAAAAACGATAGCAAAACTTTTTGTGTGCGAAATATTTGAATAAAATGATTAATTCCTGATAAATATGATAAAGACCTTGCGGTTTTGTGCACCAACCTTGATTTTTTGCACATTTTGCATGTAATAACGCATATTAAGCGTGATTGGCGCGATCAAACATTGTGTTTAATTCATTTTTATCCGATGAACATTTTTTCTGCGCTGCTCGCTTCTAACATTGGTTATTAATGCTCCTTTTTTTTTCGTTGTCGTTGCAAGGTGCAATTGAATCTGAATTTGCAGTAATCCAGCGAATGTCGCGTCGTCTCCTTGAACTTTAATTACTCATTTATTATGGAGTAATATATCTACGCCGTTTTGTACACACTACACACAAGTAAGCATTAATCAGTGAAGAAAAAAAAAAGAAACAATAACAAAAATTTATCCAAGAAAAAAAAAGTTTCTAAAATGACATCAGATTACCTTGTCAATTGTTTGCTGTATGTTATATTTATTGTTAACTAATTGTTCAGTTGTTAATTGTTAATTTATTGTCACTGGATGTTGATTGATACGAGTGCGTTGAACATGAGATCGATTTGTAGGTTTTATTGCATTGCACGGGCGCAGAACTTGTGATCAAGTTCTAAATTGCAGTCATTTCACGCACGTCGAGATAATGTCGGTCAAGGATGACGCTCGGGGAAGTGATATCATTATATACACTTTGTTTTAAATATAAAGTAAAATATTTGACTCCACAAATCAAATTTTTATATTTTTTATTTATAGTTGAATTAAAATTCTGTTTTTAATGTATTATATTTTAAAATATTTATAGATATTTATTTTTGAAACATTCTGTATAATTACCTATAGTTAAGAGTTGATTAGACGCAAGGTCGTTGAATGCATGCATGTGCATGATCCTTTGGTGACTTGGGCTGCGCTTTGCTTGGCATTGAAAACCGAATGAATTTACGCGCTACACTCAAGAGAAAAAAATGTAACGCGAATCGCAATTGATCTCACATAACCGGTAAGTATGTACTTACTTAGGAGTGACTTGTACGTTCTTGCATTCAGTTGTTTTCATTTTTTGCTAGTTAAAAACTATATAAGTGTGGTTTTGCTCGCGAATGTGTGTGAATGTATGCGCTTGTGATTGAATTGTAATAAAACACAAATATTTCATGCTATTATTATAACAGGACTAATCACGAGCGAAAAAAAAAATCGCATCGAATTGCGATTTAAATCGTTAGCGTGGACCGTTACTCTGCTTTTGCGTGTCGAGCAGTGTTTCAAAGTCAAGTTTCGAAGCCTTGATAATTCACTTTTTTGCATCTTATTTTATTTTATGTAAATAATCTAGGTAGCAAACACAGTAGGGGTTGTTGAAAATTTCCAAGTTTTTAGTATTATGATCACATTTTGCTGATTTACAAAGGCTGACTGCACTAGAATAATAAATATGTAATTTAGTGATAAAATAATTCAGGTTATAGGCTATTTCATGTAGGTACGAGTCAATAAACTACTTGCTATTTTGCTAGGAATAAGTTCACTTTACCTTTGCGTTTATATCGGTCAATGGCCTGTCATCAGATTGTTAAATTTTGAAATTTGGCGATCATCATCATTATGGCACGCACTAAACCTAATTATATTTTGCCGGCGCGAATACTTGCCAAATGTGTACCATAAAAACAGATCATAAAATGTTCGCTGGTGCCAAAACCATGGATTTTGTGAAAATTTCCAGCGTGGGAATATAATTTTGCAAATACTTTATGTAAATTCTCATAAAATTTCCCAAATTTAGTTATTTATAGAATCATGTTTAGGTATTGGTATATTTTATTTTAAAATTGTGCAATACTGTTTAAATCTAGTTAAAATTTAGTTGTAAAGTGGTTAATTGGATGTGCGCACCGACGTAAAAGATCAAAAAACTAAAAAGAGCAATATTAAAACCCTAATATTTCTCGTTTTTTTTTGTTTCCAAACAAAAAATGTTAACAATAATAATATCTATGAAAGAAATTGTAATTTTTACGATTTTTCGTGATTTTATGAGTTTGTCGACTCACGAAGTATTAAAAACTTGTAAAAATCCTAAAAATGTTTATTATATTACACTAGTTATGCAATTTTACGATTACCAACCCTTGCCTAGTATTTTTTGTGTGAATTTGAGTGCAATCTGTAATCTTTTTAAAAGTTTTAAACCTTCTACCCTTTCTTTTTTTGCCTTTGGGGTCTTTTCCCTTTCACTACCGCCACTACCTTAATAATGATGCGGATCATGAGCATGATGTGGAAGGCAATAATACCCAGAAGCAGCAAAAAATACGCAACCCGACACAAACTCAACCAAAGGCGGTTTCATCCCCATACAAACACACAAAGCGCAACGAAAGGAAACCCTTTTACTTTTACCTTTACCTTCACTTTTTACCTGCTTCGGGGGTTGATTTCTCGCATTCGACCATCAAACAAGATGGCGCTCAATTAAGACCAAGCTCAAGAAAACAAAAGAATGCGAAATTTAAGACCAAGATTAGAAAATCAGACAACATACTCAATCATCATTAAAAACTATACTAGAAACTAAAACTATAAGAAAAAAAATGGAAGCAAAAAATAATGTGAAGAGTAGAAGTGAATTAGAAACGTTTCGATTCGATTTCGTTGCGGATATCAACGATGAAAAAAAAGGTGCCCAAAACCGAAGGTATAAAAAATGGCAGATGGACCGATGATATTTATCACCGCGCGTCGTGTTTTTTTCTTCTTCGTGCTTTTGAATAGCTGAAACCATCGGAAAGAAAAAAAGGTGCAGTTTATCGCGAAATTAACAGAGGCGCATCCAATAAATAAAGCTGAAAACAAAAGAATTCCACTAAATAAAACACGCACGCCACAAATTTAAAGAAATAAAGTTAATTAAGAAATATTTTGGTGGGATATCTAAACCTATGGACTGAATTTGACATATTTATGTTGGAAACTATTAATATTAAGTTAATTACGCTCGATTGTAAATTTATTTTAATTTATTGTATATAACCCTCTTAAAATGTAAATTCCTGAACATTCACGGCGTTCATAACCTATAATTGTAACTTAAAAATCCCGGCGCTTCAAATGTAAGCAATAACAATATTTCTAACTACAAAAACCGCAATTTCTTTTAAAGTACAGTATTTCCTGTGTTAAGTTTGTTCTGTTTGATTAAATTAAAGTAAGAATGCTTTAGCCAATGCAAGCACAGGCGCAGCAGTGGACGGTTCAGGGAAATGGCCACCAGAAGCCGCAATATCTAAGTGACTGTACTTGAGTGGGGTAGCGCTGCCGGAGCCATATTTGTCCAGACCGGAGGCAAGTAAGAGGAATGCCGCTGGAGTTTGATGACCACGTGGTGTACGCGACGATGGTAGATCGTTGCTTTGCATAATGTCATCGCCAGCAGCGCGACCCCTATGGAATGCCAAATCTTCCCTTCGCATGGTGGAGATCTCGAAGGGGTCACCCAAAGCTTCACCGGAGCGTTGCAGTCTGTTACCCACAGCAGCTTTGCGTGCAGGTCCATTATCAACAGCTATAATAAAATAAATATAAGATAGGCAACTAAATTCGCAAATACTTATGAAAGTATGCAAATAAATTTGCATGAAACATTCGTTTTTAACAAATTATTTGATTTGGATGTGGACTTTTGTGCGTTTACATCCGGGTCAGTTCGCGTTGCGGTAGTTTTCTAAAACGAGGACACGTAGCGGTCCGCCGCGCGGTGAAAGAAGAGATTACCGCTGCGATCGGTTTCGCGGGCGCTTTATTTTCACGCGATGCAGTTACAGTTAGTCGCTCGATCGCGCGTTCGTTGAAGAAATGGAATGAAAGAAAGAATGAAGGAAAAAAAAACTCGGTGAGCAATCAGCAGCGAACGGTGCTCGCGGTGCCGCTAGTCACAACTGATTTCCTTTTTTTCGGCCCGCTCACGATTAATTGTCGATTTATGGTTGAAACTGTTTTAGCATTACGGTTTTCCGTTGTGTGCAATCCGTCTTATTTGCGACAGCTGTCAAGAGTATTCTCACTCTTTTTTACAGCGAATGACTTTTGTTTTTATATAAAATTGCAATTTCTACAAATGACTTTACTTACCAATTGAATATCCAAGACCTACTGCAAGACAGGCATGTCCAGTGAGGGTGGCAATTGTAAACAAGTGAGGGTTGGTCATACCCACTGCCAATTCCTTCATCTGTACAGAAAATCAAATTGGATTTAGCTTTTGTTCGTTATTTTAAATGAAATATTAAGAGGATGTAGTTTTAACATAGGCAACCCATCATACACGCCAACTTCACTCCTTTAAACTTCTAAATCGAAAATAATGCTTACCCGGCATAGAACATCGGCCATTATCATACGTCCTTCGGCATCTGTATTGCCAATCCTCACAAGTTCCCCAGAACGAGCCTTAATCAACTCATCAGAAACATAACATTCTGATCCAACGCTGTTTCTCACCAAACTCATAGCGGACACAACGCGAACATGTTTTGGTTGCATCTGTGAGACAATTTTCATGAAACCAGCCACTGCGGCCGCTCCGCATTTATCCCTTGACATACCAGCCATTACTCCACCAGCTAAAATAAATTTAAAACAGAGGAAAATTAATTATATTTACGTTAAATTGTTATTAATTTAATAATTGCATACCTTTGATATCAGCACCACCAGTGTCATAAGTCACACCCTTGCCAACAAACATTAATGTTTCCTTTACTGTAGTGCCTGGATCATAGTCCAGAAAAACAATGCATCCCTTGTGACGTTCTACTTTACCGGCAGCGCGATCAACGGCTTCAAACAGAGGATACTCTCGTTTAATTTGAGCTGGATCATCAAGGACCGTGACCTTGATGCATGTCTCCTTAAAAGCCTCCTCGACGTATTTGCGCACCATTGGAGGTGCCATGCGTTCAGGATCACCATCGCCAATGTCCCTCGCCACAATACGACCAGCTTCAAGTGTTTTTGCAAGTCTGATTAACTCGTCTAACTTTGCAGGATTTTTGTGTGACACGCCGAGAACTTCTATCGTTGGTAAATTGGACGGCTTCAATTCCCGGATTTGAATTGGCTAAAATAAAAATAAAATCATAATAATTAAGTGACTGATGCAATACTTTCGGCAAGGTTAAAGGTTTTGATAAGTATATACCAATATTTAGACTAAAATGCCCAAAAACAAGGTGCAATGTGCAAATTTCACATGAAATTTATACATAGCTCCGCTTGCGTTTGTTTGTTTTTGTTTTACCAAATAAAAATATATCAGTCATTCAACTGTGATGCGCAACATTCTATAAATATTCGTTTGTTCGAATCATGCAATAAATTTACTTGCACAATGCGTATATTCATCAAATGAAACATAACAATAACAAAAGCAAGTCTACATTTTGCAAAAAATGTGATCAGTCGTCATAATTTAATGCCTGACTAAGCCAGAAACAAAGTTCAATTGACTAATCCAATCAATGTTTGCTGTATATAATGCGAAACATGAAACTTATCTTCTTACAACATTTTTATTGTTCGACACGTACTCGTTCAATATTTGCTCTTTGTTATCAATATCTCGTGCTCGTGCGGTTGAGAGCTAATTACCATAGTTAAACAGATAGTGAACGTTTTTAGCGAATTCGAGCAGCACTTAGACGCAAGTAATTACTTGATTACACTCGAATCAGTGATATCAGTCAAGGTTTTGTAGAAATAGCGATTATCCGATAAAATTTAGAAAATTAATTTTTACGGAAAATATGACATAATATTTGCTATTATTACTCAAAAATGTAATTTTCTGATAGCGTACGGTTAAATAAGTTATTATTTTTCATTCAGGCGCGTTATTTATAACATGCACATACTGGAAAACAACCTTGAAAATAATTTCCACTTTGAGCATTTGTGTGACTAACTCAACAGCTGCAACTTAGTTATATAATTCGAACAATTGCAACAATTGAAACTGCACAAAGTTTACATTCTGTAAATGAATAGAAATTTTCAGTACTTACAACATGTAAAGCTTCGAAAATTCCTAGAAGAGTAACCAAATCGGCATCTTCGAATTCGGGATGGTCGTGAAGATACACGAGCGGTTTCTTAACGCCAGCGTCAAGAGCTTTTTTAATTGCCTTGGCGGCCGCATCACGGAATTGCCTCACATCATGATAGTCAGGGTCAATTTTCCCTGTCGAAGCATATAAGAGTCTACCAGCGGGGACATCGCCAAGAGGAAGAACTCCACAACCCCTTGTGACGGATGCGTCGTACTTTGAAGCAGCGTTCAATGTCTTCACGCAAGGACACACCGAATCGGTGGGTACATCAGGGGTGCAAATGTAGACAATTCCGTCGTAGGAATTCGACCGTAGGTCTGTTTCCTTGACGACGTTGAAATACATTTTTAACTACAAAATAATCAGAATATTAAAAAATATTAGTTGCAGGAATTTACACAAAAGTGTAAATGAAATATTAATAGAATAATATTCTGTAAGTAAACATGAAATATTTTAGTACTTACTCGATATGGTTCACTACGAGTTTCTTTTGTTTTTGTTGATGTTTCTTTGCCGCTGGCGCAATGAACGAACGCCGCTCCGTGTCGTGCGTGCAAGAAAACCGGCTTTCGGACACGCGACGCTTCGCTATTTATAAGACGCGTAACGGTGGCAAAGTGGGAGGCACATCGCGCTACTCGCGCTCTGGTTGTTATCAGAAACAAACAGCGCACGCCGACCGATATGCTATGACCGGCCAACGGAAGCATGTCAGCTATCAGCTGATTACGTAAATAATGAAATTTACAAACTATAGAAAAACGCACCAGTAATGCGCGAAATATCGAATAATAAACACGTTATATTAAAATTCCACACCGGAAACCTAGCCAACAATGAATACTATTCATAAAATAGCAGTATATTGGCTTGTTTATGTAGCAAGCAAATAAAATAAACTAAATTGTTGCTTGTAGCAAGGCAGCCTTACGAGTCACCACAGCATAACTTCTACTTTGTAACACTAGGTGGCAATAGAATAGTTTTACAAACCAAGGCTTAACATATATTATTTTATTTTCAACCTCTCGCATCGCTTGGTTTCATTTTTATCAATAACAAAACAAATAAATACATATAAGTTACATCTTTGGTTCTCTTTGGTGTGTGATTATGGGCTAGAGGTGGAAGCGCTCGATGAACTGCTGGGGTAGTACGCGGAGTAGGCGATGTTTTGCGCACTGTCAGAAAGAGAACTTGATGATGGGCTACCAGAACCGGAGGAAGCTGAGTTGCTCCAGATGCGGGCGTAGGGTCCACCACTGGCTGGTTCCCAACCAGGTTCATAGGAGCTGGTTGTTGAAGGTGGGCCATACATTGACATTGGGGGTTCTAGAGGTGGCATTGGGGACATTGTCATTGGAAGAGGCATTTTCATTCCTGCTTTGCCCAGGAGTTGATAGGCAATGAAGCCAATCACCAATACAATTGCTAGTTTGCTGAGAATGAGAGCCTTCATGGTTTTTAAGTAGAGGAGACCCACAAAGATTGGCATGAGTGCTTGCATCTTCAGTTTCAGAAGGAGAAGAATTGGGAAGAGGAGTTTCTTTTTCAAACCAAGAGCTCTTTCTGAAATACAAATAAAACATTTTTTAAATCAGTTAATACTAATTATTTTGTCTTTCTATACCTTCGGTAGTAGGTTCCGTAATATCAAGACCATCCTTGGTGTTGTATACAAGTTGAGACCCTTCGAAGAAACTTGGCAGTTCCATTTTAAACTCATGGGTCTTTACAATTCTAGCCACACGTTTGAAGATGGCATTATCAATATTCTAAAAATTCCATCATTTACACAACTCTAAAAAATACCAGCACATAACCTCACCTTAATGCTCCTGGCATCAGTCTCCATATGCAAAACATGATCTAAATACTTCAAAACGTTGTATTTGACGCAACTGGTGTCCACACAACTCTGTAGAACATTGTCGACCAACTCATTGCTGTTTCTTGGTGTTCCGAAGTCCTGAGCAAATACAGCAACGATGGCGCCGACCACCAGCAACACTGACAATCGCCACATCACCGTTTTATAAAATTTATTGAATTAAAAAATATATAAATAAATAAATATAGCTTAGGACTATTGATCAGTGTGATCAAACGGATAATGAATGCTAGAAGACCTGGGTGCGGTTATATATTGATGTCTGAAGAGGTGGAATGTAAAACTAGAAGGAACTGCAAGTAGAAACAGACATTGAGGTAGCACGGGGGCGTGCGTGTGCTTTGGTTAACAATTAGCACCCAAATTGAAGTTATGGCGCGTCGGTAGCGGAGCCACTGCTTAATCGTGAATGTTACCGTTTGTTTGCGATGCATTTACGTCCGGTTTGATGTTATTGATATTCATTTCTACCAATACTAATATTTAACAGTATAAAAATTTAAAATTTCATTTTATATCAAATTGCAATTTTAAGGTTAGAACTATTATCAAAATGGCGGTTTTTTTAATTTTTAAAACTTGAAATTTAATTCATGGACTACAAATATGTTAATTTTTAACCAAAAACAAAAGATGATTAGTGAATACAAGATGTGAGTGAAACTGTTTTCGATTTTAAGCCATTAAGCCGCCATTTTGTTTGGTTTTTATGGGCCTGCCTTTGTATTCATAACGAATTACAAAATGCGCGCATGGCGGATGAATTCCAATTTCCGAATTCGACGGAGGAAACCTAGTGAACTCCTTTGGATGTCTGTAAAACAAAAACGACTCGCGCATATTTTCACATACCAACGCGGCGTACATATTCAACCGCGCACGTGACACGCAAGTTGCATATTAAACACGCATTTTGGGTGTAGGATATTTAATTTTCTAATTTGTGTCATCATGCGTTTAATTTTTATACAATTTAACAAGTAATAAGACAAAGGAAAACATGACCTCGATGTAAACCCTAATTAGATTAGTATTGATTGATTGACATTATTGTTCTCGAGATAATGAAGTGCAGTGAGTTTACATTCTTATTAGTTGTTGAGCATCACAATGTCGCTTGCACTTATGATTCAGGTAATATTTTCGGATATTTTGTTGCGGTATTCTGATAATTGCGTTGTGATAATTGCAAACCAGAAAAATGAAGTTCAAAGTGATGAATCAGTTCAAGTTGCTCTTCAAAATATTAATTTTGATAATGAGAACATCTCAATGTATGTATTTGACGATGCCGTGCACTTCAAAAAGATAAAACCAAGTGATAGATGTCTTAATTATTTAATTTATCATTCTGATACTGTTGGAACATTCGAGACACTTGAGAAATATATGCACAATGATAGCTATTCGCGATATAATTCCAGAAAGTACTTCTTCATAACTCATTCTATGGAAAAAGTAAATAATATTTATGCAAGTTATTTGGTGCGTTCAATTCCGAATTTAGTGGTTGCTTTGATAAAATTTGTAAACAAACAATTCGAATGTGTTGAATTTTACTATCAGGCGCATTTAGGATCTAACATTTCTATATTGGACCGGTGGTATTTTAAAGATGAAGTTTTAATAAAACAAAATGATGTAAATCTTTATCCTGAAAAGATTGCTAATAGCGCAAATGGGACAATATTTAGAATTGGCGCTGGATTTATGATTCCTTATACAGATCCGTATCAGAAAACAGGAATATACTGGGAGTTTACAAAACTATACGCGTCTCGTTTAAATCTGACCGTGGTCACACATAAGACAAGGACATTGGTTCCGGATATGTTTAAAATGCTTGATAATGGTTCACTGGATTTCGGTTTTGGTATTTTTTCAATAGTTTAAGAAATAAACGGAAATTTTTTATTTTTTTTATTCTAGCAATGTTGATGATTCACCTTGATAGATATGAATATTCAGATTTTCTCACGCCGCCTATCACAACACGAGTTGGAGTTTTAGCTCGAAAACCAATGTAATAAAAATATTATAATACAATTTCCAAATTAAATATTAAAATTAATTTTAGCTTGATAAATGCTTGGTTAACTTATATGGATTTTGCTCTCTCTTTATGGCTGTTAGTGGATGCAGTATTCATATTATTGTCAACATTTTTTCTTCTTAGTCACAAAATAATTGACTGGAAACGAAAGAGAATTTGCCCGGTGTATGTATTTGGTCTGATGGTAAACCAACCGATGGAAATTGAAATGAAAAACAACAATCATTTCGATTACATCCATCTGCGGATTGGGTTTTTTGTCTTGGCTGTTACATCTTTACTCTTCACAACAATATATTGCACAAAACTTTCAAGCAATGTTATTTTACCAACGTAAGTTAAGTTAAGACACAACGTACTATTTACAATTGTTTATTTTTTTTACTTTCAACGTTGAATACGTAATCCATTTTTGTATAGTTAAACATTTTTATTTATTAAAAGTTATACGAGACTTTGTGGATTTATATTTATATATTTGAGTTTTACATGTTACACCCTGAAGGCAACTTCAGAAACTGAAAGAAAGTTTTTGAAAATGCCCTCAGGGCGAAACATGTAAAACTCAAATACATATATAAATGTAAATCCACAAAATCACGTATAATTTTTAATAAATAAATATTTTCAATTGTTTAATTCTCTTTTGGTAGATATGATAAGAAAATAGATACAATTTCTGAGTTAGCACAAAGTGACATTTGCATTATTACCGATGATCTAGACATACCAAAACCAATTGCTGAAGATCCTAATGTAAGTCTTACATTGCTTTGTTTATTAAAAAAATTTAAAAATACATATTTGCTATTTTTAGTTGCTTCACAGGTCGCTAAGTAACCGTATTCAGTATATGGATGAAGAAGAATTAATGAAGAGTTATGTTCCCAATGAAAAACACGCATATTTCGCATTTGTGTTCCCGAAACGTAAAAATATAATTTATTATTATTATTATTATTATTATTAATTGCAATAATATTAAAAATTTAATGTTTTAGTGTTTAATATCAATCGATTTCAAAACGAATCAATACTCAAAACACATCGTCTAATGGCTGAAAATTTGTACGATAAAGCAAACACCGCTTATTTGATGAAAAACTCTGCATATTTAGAATCGGCAAATTCATTGATGTTACGTGTAATCCAGCATGGTTTCATCGATTATTGGACGACAAAATCGTTACTATCAGACAAGCACATCACATTTATGCTTGACATTGAAAAGATCGAAAATATGGCGGTTCCAGCATCGCCATTAAGCATCAGTCGAATCTTAGGAAGTTTGATGATTTACTGGTTTGGAATATTTGTTAGCATGGTTGCATTCGGAACTGAATTAATTATTTTCCGAAGGAATGCAAATAAATATATAACCACACTGTATTAATACAAAATATAATAGGAGTTTTATAAACAAAACTTAATTAAAACACGTGTTGATTAGTATACTCAAATACTCATATACTCGTACTAATGGTTATGAATAGGATCAATTAGTTTTAGTTCGTGTGCTTCACTTTTACTAGTAACATGTCGATTGTTTATATTATTCAGATGTTGGTTTCAACAATTTTGCACCAAAACTTTGAAGGTTGTCTTGTAATAATCGCAAATAAACACGTACAAATAAATAAATCTGCTATTCAGGAAGATATTTTTGATTTATCTTTTAATAACATCCCTGTTTATTTATTTGACGATGCTAAATACTTTGTACAAATAAATCCAAGAGGCCGATGTTTGAATTACATTATTTTTCATGAGGATCTGATTGAAACATTTCAGAATATTGAAAAATTCATACAACATGACAATTCTTCGAGGTATAATAATCGAAAGTACTTATTTCTAACCTTTTCCATTAAATACGTTGACGACATCTTTAAAAATACTTTAGTGCGTTCAATACCAAATATAGTGGTTGCCCTAATAAAAATACAAGATGATCAAATCGAAAGTTTTGAGTTTTACAATCAAGCGTACTTGGGCTCTAAGATTTCCCTTTTAGATAACTGGTATTTTCAGAATAATACTATCAAAAGACAAAATGGTGTGGATTTATACCCGGAAAAGATAGCAAATGGCGCACACGGAACAATATTTCGAGTTGGTTCAGGTTATCTGGTTCCATTTTCAGATCCTTATAATCAACAAGGTACTTACTGGGAATTTATGAGGTTATATGTACGTCGATTTAATTTAACAGTGGTTATGTGTCAAAAAAGAACGTTTGTCCAAGATGTCTTTAAAATGTTATGGAATGGATCTTTAGATTTCGGTTTCGGTAATTATCATGTTTTATTATGAAGTAAAACAATCGAGACTTGAATAATAATTTTATAGCCGCGTACATGGTTCGTCTTGATAGATATGAAATTGCTGATTTTGTCACGCCTCCATTCACAACGAGGATTGGAATATTGGCGCCGAAACCAAAGTAATTAAAATGTTATTATTTTATTTATGTAAAGTTTATTATTTTTCTAAATTACAATTTTAGATTATTAAATGGGTGGTTTACGTACATAAACTTGTTTACCTGGTTAATTTGGCTACTAATATTTGCGACAATTATATTATTTTCTATATTTTATCTACTAAGCAATAAACTACTAAACTGTAAATTTACAAGAAGAAAAATTGATGCTTTGGACGTCTTTGGTTTAATGACCAATCAACCGATCGCAATTAATGTTGCCAATAATCGTCATTTTGATAGCGTTCACTTACGGTTCGGTTTTATTGTGTTAACATTAACATGCTTACTTTATACATCAATTTATTGCACCAAACTATCAAGCAATATCATTATACCACTGTAAGTTAACAGAAACTGTAATGCAAACATAAGTTTTAATTGTAAGCTTTCAGATATGACAAAAAACTTGATACAATATCAGGATTGGCCGAAAGTGACGTTTTCCTGATTACAGATGATCCAATAACACCCGAACCCATATCTAAAGACCCAAACGTGAGTTTAATGCAATCAAACCAGGCAAAACTTAATGCATATGCAAATTATAGATGGTACACAGATTACTCTTCAAACGTGTTAAATACTGTAATGAAGAAACTCTGAAACGGAGTTATGTAACCAGTGAAAATCATGCTTATTTTGCTTATGTTTTTACAAAAGGTATAAAATAGAGATACACTATTTCTCATCATTTTAAACTTATTCATATTTCTTTCATATAGAGATTATTATTAACCATTTTCAAAACGCGTCAATTTTCAAAACTCACCGTCTAATGGCTGAGCCCTTGTATGACACACCAACAGCGCCATATTTGACGAAAAATTCACCATATCTAGAATCTGCAAACTCATTTATGCTTCGTGTAATTCAGCATGGTTTTATAGAGCACTGGACATCAAAATCATTGCTTTTGAGCAAACGTGAAACATTCCCTCGTGACATTGAAAAGATTGAAAAGATGGCCACCCCTGCGACGCCATTAAGTATCGGTCAAATTGTGGGCAGCTTGATGATTTACTCTTTTGGTATACTAATTAGTTCGATTGTGTTTTTTGCTGAATTAATTAAATTTACAGTTTATAAACGTGGTTAACACATTATATATGCAGTTATTAAGTCACAAATAACACTTGTTTATCGTTAGTTATAATTACTTAATAAAGTCAATAAACAACATTTCAATTGAATGGAAATATTTATGGACAGAACAATGTAGGAAATGAAAAAGTTTACTTTAGTGTATTTCCTAACATAAACTATTAACATGTCACTCATTGTTTTACTACAAGTGTTATTTTCGGCTATTTTGCAGGAGTATTTCGACGATTGTATTGTAGTAATCGCTAATCAAAAAATTCAATGGAATGAAACAGATAATAGTCAAACATTTGATTTGTTTACTCTTCACAACTTAACTTCTGATTACATATCAATGTATTACTTTACTGATGCAGAATATTTCAATGAAATAAACCCACGTGATAGATGTCTTAATTATATTATTTATCATTCGAATATTGTTCAAACCTTCGAGGATTTAGAAGTATTTGTTTATAATGATAGCTATTCACGGTATAACACACGGAAATACTTAATAATAGCACATACAGAAAAAGAAGTTGAAGAAATATTTGCATCATCTTTTGTTCGAGTAATTCCCAACTTTGTGGTAGCTTCGATAGCAATTCAAAATATTAAATTTGATCGTGTTAAATTTTATTATCAATCATATTTGGGTTCTGATGTTACTATAGTAGATGAATGGTACTTTCGAGATGGAATTTTAATAAAACAAAAAGAAGCAGATTTATTTCCAGAGAAGATTGCAAATGGCGCACAAGGAACTTTATTTAGAATTGGAGCTGGATACATGATTCCATATACAAATCCATATACAAAAACAGGAGTAATCTGGGAGTTTCTAAAGACGTATGTTGAACTTTTTAATTTAACTATCGTCACAAATAAAACAAGAACCCTAGTACCCGATATGTTTGATATGCTAGCGGAACGAGAGATAGACTTTGCCTTCTGTACGTATTAACTTAATTTATTATCATATAATCATTAAAGTGTTTATCACTTTCATTGCATTTCAGCAATGTTGACCCTTCGATATGACTCTTACACATTTGCGGACTTTGTTTCACCATCTATGATATCACGTATTGGAATTTTGGCTCCTAAACCACAGTAATTAGACAATATTTAAGGAAAAAAATAAATTATAGTATTAATTAATATACTTTTAGGTTAATTAATGGATGGTACACATATTTAAACTTGTTTACGTATTGCATATGGTTCTTAATGTTTATTACATTTATATTACTATCACTATTCTTTCTACTTCACAACAAACTTATTAACCATGGGCAAGCAAAATGGAACATTCAAACATTGCGTTTGTTTGGTTTAATGTTAAATCAACCAATTCCATTCCCAAAGAAAAATTGTATTAGTATTTTTAATAGTGCTCATCTTTGGATTGGATTTTTGATGGTGGCATTTGCTGCTATACAATTTTCAATAATGTATTGCACAAAGTTATCCAGCAATATTATAATACCATTGTAAGTGGTATAAATATTTCATTATTGAAATTATTTTTATAAATAATGATATATTTTATTGTAGATATGATAAAAAAATCGATTCACTATCTGATTTGGCAGAAAGTGGATTAAGTATTCTAACAGATGATCCATATACAGGACGCCCAATTATCGCGGATTCGAATGTACGTACGAGTATGATTTTATAAAAATGCAATAAATGATAAACATTTATAAAGATTTTAAAATTGAAGGAAGTTTTAGTCGAGTTTATTGATGAATCGAGTACAAATGGACTAAAAATTCCCTCAATTTTAAAATCTTTATAAGTCAAAATGTTGCACGAAATAATCTTGATAAACATTTGTTCCAGGTTAATTATAGAATAATTAGTAAACGAGTTGAGTACGTTCCTGAAGAAATATTAATGAAAGGTTATGTACCAAGCAGGGAACATGCCTACTTTGCTTATACATTTCCTAAAAGTATGTGTTTATTATAATTTTTGTTTAATCGTAAATATAATTGTTATTAATCCGTAGTGTTTAGTCTTGATCGTTTTCAAAATGAGTCGGTCCTCAAAACGCACCGTTTGATGACCGAATACTTGTACGACAGACTAACCACGCCATATTTGATGAAAAACTCGCCGTATTTGGAATCGGCAAACAAATTAATGATGCGCGTGGTTCAGCACGGATTTATTGAGTACTGGAGGCCAAATTTGTTGCGCATGGACAAGGGTATGTCGTTTCCGGTTGACATTGAAAAGATAGAAAGCATGGCTACGCCAGCGACGCCATTAACAGTCAGTCGAATTATTGGAAGTTTCATGCTTTATTTGATTGGTATACTCATTAGCATGATTGTGTTTATAGTAGAATTGATAACAGTTAAGTATTTTAAGAATCGTTGAACATATTGTATGTGTATGTGTATGAATAGGAAATTTCATTAGTTACTTAAATGTTTGTGTTTAGGAAATATTGAAAGGGGAAATAATTAAATGAATATTGATAGTTTTAATTAGTAGCAGGTATACAAATATTATTCCTGAAAGTGTTGAATTTAATTTAGTTCAGTTTTTTCGCAGTAACGATGTCTTATGTTTCAAAGATTCAGTTGATATTTTCTGCTATTTTGCAGCAATATTTTAATGATTGTCTTGTTATAATCACAAATGAAAATATTTCTAGTCAAAACACAGCTCATATATTTAATTTTAATAGCTTATCTACTGATAATATCTCAATGTATTTGTTTAATGACGCATCATATTTCAATTCAATAAATCCACGTGATCGATGCCTTAATTATATAATTTATCATTCGAATGTATGGAATACATTCGAGGATTTAGAAATGTTTATGCACAATGACAGTTATTCACGATATAATACACGAAAATATTTAATATTAACTCATGTTTCAGAAGAAGTGAACATCATTTTTGATAGTTTTTTTGTTCGCTCAATTCCTAATTTTGTAGTGGCTATGATAAATATTAAAAATGAAGAACTTAATTGTGTGGAGTTTTATTATCAATCGCACTTGGGTTCCAAGATTAGTCTTGTAGATACATGGTATTTTAAAGATGACACATTAACACAACAAACTGGAATAAATTTATATCCGGAAAAGATTGCAAATGGCGGAAACGGTACAATATTTAGACTGGCTCCTGGATATATGATTCCATATACTGATCCTTATACGGAAACTGGTGTATACTGGGAGTTTGTGAAGATGTACGCTCAACGTTTTAATTTAACCACATATTCAAGTCATAAGAGGATATTGATTCCGGATATGTTTGAAATGCTTGATAATGGAAGTGTTGATATTGCTTTTTGTAGGTATAATATCAATATTATGTTTTATTTTGATGTTGTTGTTTATTTTCAGCCATATTATCCGTTCGTCTTGATTTGCATGTTTTTGCTGATTTTATTGCGCCTGCTATGATATCACGTGTTGGAATCTTGGCTCCTAAACCAATGTTGTTAACATACTTTAAAATTATGAACTATAAACTAACTACTAAAGATTTTAGGCTGCTAACTGGCTGGTTTACATATATTAATTTGTTTGCTTGGTTAATATGGTTATTAATATTGACAACTTTTATATTATTAACATTATTCTATCTAATCAGCAAAAAACTTATGAATTTTAAGCGTTTAAGAAGAAACATTGATGTTTTGGATGTATTTGCTTTGATGATAAATCAACCTATTTCGATAACGATGAAAAACGACATCAATTTTTGTTACGTTCATCTAAGGGGTGGATTTATTGTCATGGCCGTTGCATTTTTTCTATTTACATCAATATATTGCACGAAACTATCAAGCAATATCATTATACCATTGTAAACTTTTAACAGTTTAAATTTGTGATTGTTAATGTTATATTAAATATTATTAATTGCAGATATGACAAGAAAATTGACACAATCCTCACACAGGACAGCCGATTGCTAAAGATCCAAATGTGAGTTTTACGGATCCCAACATTATCAAATTACCTTTTAATTTTTTAAATTTGACTTTAATTGCAGTTGGATAACAGAAAACTCAGCAAACGTATCGAAATTGAAAAAGAAAATAAACTGATGAGATCTTACGCACCTAACATAAAACACGCTTACTATGCTTATACATTTCCTGAATGTATGTGATATTATACTTATTTATTAACAATTTTTTAAAATATATATTTATAGGTTTTAGTGTCGATCGCTATCAAAACAAATCGGTATTAAAAACTCATCGTCTAATGTCCGAGTATTTATTCGATAGATTTACCACTCCACATCTGACCAAAAACTCTGCATATTTAGAATCAGCGAATAAATTAATGCTGCAGTTGATTCAATATGGTTTTACTGAGCACTGGACAACTCAAGCACTACAGATGGACAGAAGTAAAACTTTTCCGATTGATATTGAAAAAATTGAAGGCATGGCTACACCAGCGACGCCATTAAGCATTGGTCGGATTGTTGGCAGTTTAATGATTTACTTATGTGGTATACTTGTTAGTTTATTAGTATTTGCAGCAGAATTGATTAGATTTAAACGCTATTCGTAATTATAAACATTAGTATATTAAGTATCAAGTGATTAAACGGGCCACGTGATGCACTTTACTCACGGCCTTGGCCATCAGTGTTTAAAGTACCATTTTTCGTGTCTAAAAACCGTGGAAAAACTGGCGCTTTAAAGGTGGAAGTAGAAAAAATTATATTTCAATAACTTTATTCATCAAGATTATCTTGATCAATGTTCATAATAAGTCATAAATTAAATAAATAAATCAATGATGACAGTAAATGTGTAGTGCAACACTAGATGTCTCTAGTTGGCGTAAGAGGAGTAGGCAAGCGATTGAGCATCAGCCATCTTGTCATCGTCCATATTCATTGCCCTGCCGGCAGGCCACGTTGCTGTGTGCGAGACAAATGGATGCACGTGATCTGCGGCAATTTTCTTGCACATTTCGTAAACTGCAAGTCCAATGGATACGATGAAGGTTACAAAGGACAGTTGAATTGCATTCCACGTCTTCAGACCAAGCAAGCCTAAAGCCAACGGGATCAAAGTGATGGCCTTTAGGATAACGAGGATCAAAATAGGTGCGAAGATCTTCTTCAGTTTGGATTTACGTGCTAAAAATAATGCAATAGAATTAAATTCTAACTAAATAATCACATTCAAACCTTCAGGCTGAGATGAAAGTTGTAATTTAATGTCCATCTCATCATCAACCAGATTACGTGCGTTCAATGTCACTCTTGATCCAACATAGGGTAATTCCACTTCAAACTCTTGCTTCTCAATCCAATGAGCAATGTTTTCCTCCAAAGATGTACCATCCGGTTGAGTTTGGATTGGGGTGGCGTATGATATGCACGCGCACAGCGTGATTGCAAGAACAATTTTCAGCATCTTTACAGTTATTTATTAAAGGTGTTGACTAGTTGACACTTTGATTGTTGACTGCACACTAATTTCAATTTGTACTATCAAACGGTATTTATAATGCGCGAAAAACGAAAGTTTAAATACGTTACTGCGCGTATGGCGTACGCCATGACGGAATCTGAATTCTAATTTGTTATGAATTAAATTAGGGTCTCATTTCATTTAAAGAATATAAGTACAATATAAGTAACGTTATGATATTTATATACTTGTTACATATAAGGGTAAACTAGAATGTTGTATATTGAGCACAGGTCATCGTAGGTAATTTGCAATTATTTGGCATAGAAATTTGCTAATTTCATAATTTTTTAATAATTAAAATGTTCTAAAAGAGACTCTGCGTTTTAAAAATTCTGTATTTAGAGAAATTCTTGTAGACTAAGGAATTTCAATCTTTTTATTTCTGTCCCTTTAATTTCGGAGACATTCATAATTGCAATATCGGTAAAAATGCTTAGACCCCTTTTTTCACATTTTTCATTGAGATTATTTTTTTAAATCCTTTTATTTTTCCAATTTGTAAATCGTATTTAATAAACAATTTATTGTAAATTAAGAATCCACTTCAATGTATTTATATTATGTGTATGTATTTCACTGTTAAAAAATACTACAGGACATCCCTCAACAAATGTTAATTGTAAACATGAATTGCTCTATTATTTTGAGCAATTTTAAAGCAAACAACAGTTCAAAAATAACCAATTTTTAATTATGGTAAATAAAGCTTGTATTTTTGCTTTTGGTCATTATTTAGAAAAATAATTGAATGTGTTTATGAAGGATCATTTCTTTATTTAAAACCAAAAAAAAGTAATCACACAGAAAAATAGTAGAATTAAGTTTACAACTTCAAAATTAAATTAAATTAAAGTTTCAATATTAATTGCTACATATCTATTAATATTGTGATAAGAAATCAGGTAGGAATGTAAAAATACATATCAGTTTTTTATATTTTTTAATTTTATATTTGCAATAAATAAATATAGAATCATCATAAATAATCTTTCATAATTTTGATAGTTAACATCTTTCTCAGCAAACAAAACAATAAGTTTTCATCATTATCAAATATTGTTTATGTTGCTTTACATTTGTTTCTTAATTCTGCCTGAATCATCCTCTTATTGAGAATAAGCGGAATAAGCCATCTGTTGTGCAGCTTCATCAAAAGCACGGGCAGCATAATGACCCTCCCACGGTGAGTGGGCTGCAATCTGTGGATGGCTGTTATCAACAGCAATCTTTTTGCACAACTGGAAGACAGCTAGAGAGACAGATACAACAAACGAGAAGAAACTAAGCTGAAGGGCGTTCCATGCCTTCAAACTAAGCACACCGATAGCCAGAGGAATCAAGGTAATTGCTTTCAACAAGACAAATACAAGGATGGGAATGAAGATCTTCTTCAACTTGGATTTACGGGCTTGAACTTCACCACCAAAGTTAACTTTTAGATCAACTTCATCTTGATCAAGGTTGCGGGCACCCAGTGTTACTTTGGAGTCAACCAAAGGAAGTTTGAAGGTGACATCGTGAGTCTGGATGTAGTTCTCAATGCGTTCCTCCCAGGTGGAGACGGAGCTGCGAGCGCTGTTGATTTCATTAGAGCGGGCGTTACGTGTAACTTCCACATCATCAGTGAACTATAAAATATCAAATTTTAAAAATAAAACTATAATATTATTAGTTAATTATAAACAAACCTTAAAACTATCCTTATTGAACAAATTATCGATGAATGTCATTGCTTTAAATTTGATGCAAGCAAGCGCATCGTCGTTGTCACAAAGCGACCTCATTTCCTCAACGGTAGAGTCCAAAAACGTACCCTTCCAGAAGTTTCCGGTAGGAGTGGCTCCCACAAAAGCCACCAACACCAAAACGGCGCACACTTTGCCGAACATTTTATTCTGGTATTATATTTTCTTTATTGCTCTGACGCGTTTTGATCGACGGCTGTTGGACGACTGATATCTTTCAAATCGCCCCCCTGGCTTTTATTACCAACCGTGATCGGAAATAGACGCCATATTGGTCTGGCCGGCGATGAGGAATGAAAAAGTGAACCATGCGACACACGCACGTCGTCACGTGTCTCTCTATGATGCATACTAATGGCGGCCTATTGTTTTATCGCGAAGAAGGAATTTGTATCGATTGACATTCAACGTGGACGAACTAGGTTTGTGGGTCCAATCCGGTCCTTTTAGTTTGGATTTTGATTAGAATAGCCGGATATTTTTTTAATATTGATATCGTATAGTATTGTAAACAGTTGCAAAATTGTCAAAATGAAAGGTTGTCGAAAGCAACTGCATTGTTTGAATTTTCAAGCGACAGAAGAACGTCAATGAATGCATAAATAGCTAGTTGTTGAGGTTAGAAACGCAATGTATCATGTTGTATTAAAATAGAATAATTAATTAATTAAACAGAATTGCATATTAATATTTATTTATATTTATTTGATATAATGTATCCAAATAGTTATTAAACATTTATTACTATATTTTACTATAATATATCCGAAAATAAATCATAAAATTAGTAAATAAATAACTTATATTCACAATTTTAAAGAAATACATAGGTTTTATTTGTAATAAATTAAAAGATTTATAATATTGTTTGTTTTTTACTTAAATTTAATAGAACTTGATTGTTATTTAACATATATACAAATTTACAACCATTTTTTTTATCAGGAATGTAAACAATGAATAAATTCAAAAAATTTACTTTCATTTTATAAATTTATTAATAATAAATAAATAATTTATCAACAACATATTCCAACATTCATTTAACAAATCAGATTTAAGCTTGAGCATAAGCATTGTACGCGATGTTTTGTGCGTCCATTTCACGCCCATAACCATGGTCCCAACCGGTGGCAACTGGAGCATGATCAACATGATGTTCAACATGATCAAAGTGATGATCGTGATGGTCAATGTGGTGTGGGTAGTGGATGACTTCGTAGTTAACAACCTTGGGTTTGGTAAACTTGAAGATGACCATCGCGGCGGTGAGAACCATTGAGAGAAGACCCAATGTCAGAGCCTTCCATGTCTTCAATGCAATCAAAGCCAATGCAAGAGGTACCAACACTGCCGTTTTGAACTTCAATCCCAGAAGGAACGGAACAATAATCTTCTTTACTACTTTGGACCTACCAGTGGCAGCAAGAGGAACAGACAGATCTTCAGCTTGGAAGGAACGTGGTACTAAGGATCCAAGTGGTCCATCAGCGCGGAGGATTTGAGGTACTTTGGCTACAAGAGTGTGCGACTGTAAGAAGTCCTCAAAGGAGTCGAAAATGTCAGCTGATCCACGTTGTTCCTTTAGAATAAAATTGATTATATTAATCTTTATCAATTACTTCATTATATAAAAGATATCTTACTTCAGACTGTGCACCATCTTTTCTGACAACTACTAAATCGTCAGTAATGTTGATCACATCATCATTTGAAACGGCTGTCATCCATCCTAGTGCCTTTGGTTTAACGCAGCTGATATCCAGATTCTTCAGGCAGGAGTGGTAAGCATCGACGGCGACGTCTACTGCGGAACGTGTCTGAGCGTGCAGGTTTCCTGCAGCGCATAACAAGATGGCCGCGATGATAAAGTGGTTCATCGTGCGTGTTGTTGATTGTTAACCTGAAGAAAAGAGAATGATGTTTGTGACAGCCATGGGCGCGTTTTATATAGACCCTAACGGAAATAGAAACCAAATGTGAAATATCGAGGGTGGACGTGACCGGCATAAATAATGGTAGGTACACTTCAATCAACTTTGGTGAAACGCCAAGTGTCGGTAAGCTAATTTACTTTACTTGTACGGTGAACATATGATATATGAATGCTTAATTGGAAATATATTAATGAAGAGCCATTCAGACCTTCATTTTCAGATCGAAAATTAAAGTAAAACTCTGGTTTAAATTTAATTTTGTGTCAAAAGACAGGGCCGAAGTTTTTTGTTTAAATTTTTGATGTCGAAAGACAGAGCCAAACTTTTTTGTTTAAAATATTTTTGGTCGAAAGAAAGGGTCGAACTTTTTTGTGTCGAAAGACAGAGCCAAACTTTTTCGTTTAAAATTTTTTTGTGTCGAAAAACAGGGCCAAACTTTTTTGTTAAAAATATTTTTGGCTGAAAGGCAGAGTCGAACTTTTTCGTTTACATTTTTTTGTTTCGAAAGACAGGGCCGAACATTTTTGTTAAAAATATTTTTGGCTGAAAGACAGGATTGAACTTTTTTATTTAAATTTTTTTTGTGTCGAAAGACAGGTCCGAACTTTTTTGTTTCAAATATTTTTGGTCGAAAGACAGTGCTGTATTTTTTTGTGTATTGTACTGTATTTGTATTTGTGTAGTGTACTGTATTTTTACCCTAGAGATGCTTTGAAGTGAAATGTCAACTTCCAACCATATTTAATTACCGATTATCTCAGCATCAAATAAAGATAAACAGAAACCGAAAACGGATTTCGGCTCACAATAAAATTTCACATCAGATAAGATTTTAAAATTTTTATTTTGAAAATAGTGAAAAGCAATTTTCCGACGCGATTTCCTCGAAAACCATAAATGTTACAAACAAACTTTTTGCATTTTCTTCATGTCATAACAAGAATCTAAAAAATGGCAGATTCAGTTTTTTGATTCTGACAAGTTTACCAAAACCTCTCGAAAAGTATCAAGAGGTTTCACTTAACTCTTTTTAGGTCAAAAAATTATTTTTTAAGCTAGCAAAAAATGGAAAACGCCAATCGATAAAGAATTGCGATGCGATGAAAAATATCTGGTTAGTTTTCCAATATCACCAATATTTCGGAAAAAACAGATAAAAATTGAAAAAGACCAAATTGAACCACCCTTCAGAATTTAACGAAACTATCTAACATAGTGTAGAATCATGCCAAGAATCCATTAATATTGGTTTTGTTCCGATATATTAATTAGTGTACGAATTATTGACCGTTTTCATTAATTGCGTAAGTCTAAAAAACTAAACATTTGAAATTACTACATAATGTAAAATTCTTCCCTGCATATGAATCTGAAAACCATTTTCATTTAACTGTATTCGTTTTCAAGAAAAGCGGAAAAAAACTGGATAATTCAATTTCTCCATCATTTCTTCCGCAAAAAATAAAAATTGTAAATTTGACTTCTTTATTACTTAATATCGTAGTACATGTAATTTGGAATATCTTATTTTAATATAATTTTGTTCTATGACGTACCGTTTTAATAATAATTACAATTTTCAATTTCTTTCAGTGCAAATTTAAATTTTTATTTAAATTAGTTTTAACGTCTAGTTACAATAATATTCTAAAATATTTTATTTATATTATTGTCTGCTTACATAATCTGCAATATTAACTTAATTATATTGATTTTTAAAAAGATTGCAAATAATTAACTAAAATGTGGCGGAGGCGCCGGACATTTTATCAAGGGATTTTATTTAGCTTTCAAAACTAATATAACCATTGTGTAGAAAGATTTTAAATTACCTTATAAAATAACTTTATTCATTTGTACTCACGGTTTGCCTTCCAGAAGCATTTACTCGTAAGTGAAACGTATACTTTCATTAACATTTAAATGCCGCTTATCTCTGAAACTAACAGAGATAATCAAAAACGGAAAACGACGTCGCATTCAGCAAAACATTCTACATAAGGCAAGAATTTAAAATTGGCATTTTTAACATGGTGAAAACTGATTTTCCGACGCGATTTTCTCGGAAACTATAAAAGTTTCAGAGAAATTTTCAGCACTTTCTTCATGCCACGATAAGGATTTATAAAATGACAGATTCAATTTTTTGATTCTAGAAGTTCACCAAAAACTTCATCAAATTTGTCAAGAGGTTAGTTACACTTGACTATTTCTTGGCTCAAAAAATAAATTTCAAGCTAAGAGAAAATGGAAAATGTCAATCGATACAGTGTTGTAATGCGATGAAAGATATCCAGTCAGTTTTCCGATAACACCAATATTTCCCCAATTACCCTTGAAAATCTATACAGGCTAAATTGAACCACTTCTCTGATATTTACGAAACTTTCTAATCTGATATAAAATATTACAAGGAATCCATAAATGTTGGTTTGGTTTCGATATCATTATTATCGTTGTTAAGTTATTGACCATTTTCAATTATTACATAATAGTAGAAATATGAAAACTTTTTAGAAGTAGCTAATGTAAATTATTTTCCTGTATACGAATCCGAAAGCTATTTTTTATTACCTCTACTGAATCTCAAGAAAAGTACAATAAACAGGATTTTCAATTTTCTTATCATTTCAGGTGTAAAAAAATAAAAGTGAAAAATTTAAACTTTTTATTACAAGATCTTAAAAAAGACTTAATTTAAATTACCTTATCTTAATGTCATTTTGTGCTTAAATTGATTGTTGAGATTGTAATCCCCCCTTTTTAGTTAGACATTCTTCACTGTAATGAAAAAAATGAACATATGAATATTGCTGGAATTTTAAGATTCTTTGAAGATTTGAGGTTGACACGTTTTTTTTCAAAAAAATAATTACTTAAACTATCACAAATACATTTATTTAATTATATTCACACCAAAATACAGTAAGTACACGTACATATAAAATTTATTTACAACTTACAACAATCTCGTTTTATTAACAGTATTTATAATGTTTTCACCGTTTACACTTTCGCTCCCGACATTTCACATTGTCTTTCTACGTGAAACATCCACAATTTCCTTTTATTGTTCACTTATTAATTATTTTAGTTCAGTAGTAACTAGATACAGTTAAGTTAGTATATTTAGCCATTATATAGACGCCATATTTAAAACTGGCGTCGAGCTATACACGGCTACAATTCGAACTAGAATTAACTCAAACAACTCTCAGAAATCATTAACGTGAAGTATTCGTAACTATGATTTGAGCGGCATTCTATTACATTAGTGACTATCAATTTGATTCGATTACTTACAAGACTAACTAATTAGAATACAATTTATCCTAATAATACCGTCACAGAATATTTTCTTCCTATATTATTATACATTTAAATAAATAAATAAATAAATAAATAAATCCCAAGAAAAAGAAACTATCATAGATAAGTACATTTAAATTGTCATAATTTAGTGCCAAGGTTTAGATTACTTGACTTGTCTGCAGTAATAAATTAAATAAGTAATACAATTTTTAAAGAATAAGAATTACTTAAAGAAGTAATACAAATAAATAAATATATAAATAAATAAATAAATAGGTGTCTTGAGGTTTGTTACTGTTATACTCGTATATGCAATAACTATGGCAATCGACTGTTGACAACATGCATTCGTCTGTCGTCCATTCTGTGTGCACTGTCAAAGCTATTAGGCGTCAGAGGGCCCACATTATAGACTCAGTGTGCACGCCGGGTACAACGTAGCGCATGCGCGTTTATCTTGTCCATCTCTCGCAGCCTGCACATATTTGTAAAAGCGGATAACGGCCAAATTACTCGTTGTTGGTTTTTGTAATTCACTTGCATCCCTAAAAAGAAAAAAATAATTATTAGTCAGTCACAAAATGTGAAGTAAAAACTGTGTGATACAATTGTAATGAACATATTGCAGTTTATAGTAAATTGAATTGCATTAAGATCAGAGAAATGAAATATAGAGCAGCGGACCGGAAGAAGCAGCGTGTCGGCTCGCCTGCTGTTCGGAATAAAGCAGCAGTATGTGAAAGTCAAAGTCGACCGACGATGTACAAGTATTTTGCCTCTTTCTTGTACCCACGTAAGCAAAAATTTTTGAAGTAGGAGTTTGTGAAATCCCAAAATTTCGACCGCGAATTTTATGATGCAATTCAGCTCACGCATGAAATTCAACTCGGTCGCCATTAACACCGTTAAATTTTCAAGCAACGTCACGAAATTTGAATACAACGCGAGGAATTCGTAAACTTTCTCAAAATATATCGGAATTACCATTTCACCGTATAAAAAACCTAAACATTAACATAAAACATCAAAACTAAAAGATTTTCTTTATATTTTCATGCGAGATCATAAATATTGTCCTTTTGAAAATGTCATTTGTTTCATCAAATGCCGCCATGTAAATTTTATTCCTAAAACATTGTCATTGTTGGTTTTTATTGTTTATGAGGAAGACATTCTTGCAAAACGAAAGCGATTAAAAGAAACAGTCAGGTGTGCGTCGTATAAATAAATTTCGGGGTCAATTTCATCGTCGACTTGACCTTCTTCGCCTTGGTCTGGCCGGCTGTCGACGCACGCACGTCGATTGCATTCCGACGCGAGCAGCGCTCATTCATTTTACGCTAATTATATAAACAAGAACAGGTCCCGACACATTGGTAATCAATTAACAATTATTATGTCAAGCACAGGACAACAAATGAAGCAGCTGCTTAACATTCAGTCAGTTAAATATGTAATTTAATTATAAATTTTATATCTTCTTCTTATATGATCATTAATTAAATGTTTTACTCTTAAAGAATAAAACAATAAGCATGTATTAAGCACACAATAAAACCGAATTTGTGGTGAAACTTAATTCGCTGTGCTAATTTCTGGTCATGTGCGTTGCATCGCGAAATTATATTGTTCAAATTGCAACCGTAAACTCGTTAAGTTATTGTAAAGATTGAACGAGCTTCTTAAATCCCGCAAAAAGAACAATGCATAATTTTTAATAAATGAATTGCTTCAATGTCTCAAATTGCAGTTTCCCAAAGCATTGCATTATTTCTGTCGCACGAAAGTTAAAGTCAAGTACTGAATAAGATTAGGCGGAACTGAATTAGCGTTGAAATTGACATTGGCGATGAACTAAAGTAGGAAGTCGAAGAAGAAAAAAGTAGAATACCAGGTGAAACTATAGAAACGATAAGTAAAAAGTAGTTAGTATCGTGACAAGATTGACAATGCAGAGAAATGCAAGAAAAAGTGGAAACAAAATCGCTGACAAATTGATAAAACGCTAAAACGCAAGAAAGCGAAATAATCGCAAGAATGTTACAGATTATCGCAACCTTTTAAGGAAACAAAACAAAGAACTTTAAAATATAACCTTAAAATGTTCAAGAAACAGAAACTTTTAATTTACCTGCTTAATTCGGCACTAATAAGATTACTGTGAGGACTGTACTTCTCCGGTTCGCTGTACATGTTGCAAACAAGCCGCTCCCTGCACGTTTCGTCCAGAATGACCAACTCGTTAAATATCTTATCGATTTTTTGCAGAATCGGACTGTAGAACGGATCGAACGTATTCCCACTTCCGGTTGCCGCCATATTAGCACCAGTCATACTGTTACCACTTGCGCTATTGGCTTGTTTTCCAAAAGTGCCCAATGAGTTCAAAGAGTTGGTGTTAGTGTTTAACGCTGAGTTTTGTAACTGCGTTTGCATCGCTGATAGCACCGTGGGATTATTGTAGACGGGTTGATGATGTGCGACGGGTGCGTAAATCGCCTGCGCCTAGAAATACACACGCATGTTGAGTTTATGCATGACATGGGTAATTAATTGGAGAAATCTCTTCTCTTGCTTACATATTACTAGCATATTTATTCAATCATGTTGAATATATTATTGTATCATGTGAGAAAAACGTTTATGATGTCATTAAGATGATAGTACTTACCGGTACAACTTGTTGCGGCAAATACGAACTGATGTAGTGCGGTTGAATTAATTGTTGTGCAGCGGGTTGTGATTGTGGGGGTGGTGGCGGCGGTTGATATGCTGCGGCTATCTTTGATGTTTGTTTCGCTACCATCGATTGAATTTTTAGTTTTTCTTGTAGTTTTAGCGAATTTTTAATTTTATCCTGTAAACGCTTGTTTTCCACTTCGACTCGTTTTTGTTCTGCTTGAAGACGAGCTTTCAGCTAAAAACAATACAGAAAACATTAGAAATTATTGCAAAACATGGCATAAAAACGTCAACTTTAATTATAACTTCTGTTTTTTCTGTTTAGATTTTCTTAAATTTGTTGTAATGATAAAATTGTGGTATCGTCGTGTCGTTTCGTTTCGCCGAGCGTGAATTTAAAATTTTACTTTTTAATTCCTTAATTAGCTCCCCATTATAAAAAATATTCCAATTCAAGAGAATGGAATAGTCATATAGCATGGCAAATAATTAGTGCGATAAAACAAAAACCCAGCGAAATTAACAGAGTAAATAATCGTAAATAATCATTATTTTATTAATAAAATAACGTCGATTGTGTTTCTCAAACAAAAATTGTACTAAAATCTATTTATAACTAGCTGACCCGGCATGTGATTGAGAAGCACAAAGTCGAGTCATACTAACACGGCGCTTTTCACGTGCAATTTTTTGTTCTTCTTCAGTCCTTTCATTCGCAATCCTACGAATCCTAGTTGCATTACGGTTTTGTCGGATAAGACTTGATCGTTTTGGTCGCTGCATGTTGAGTGGGGAAGCTACGAAGCATCGCACAAAGAGGAGACGGGGATAATAGAAAACTTTGTATTTGCGTTCTCTTATTCTTCCGCAAGATAATCCATATACGCAAATATGTTTGTCTCTTTTTAGTGTCGTTTAGTGCCTTTTTAGAAAAGTTTTCACTTCAAAAAGTATCCTATTACCTTCTCCTGGCCCTAAGCTACCTCTCCACCAATTTTTAGCTAAATTGGATTAGCCGTTCTTTAGTTATAATGGAGTTAACCAACACGACTTTCTTATATATATATATATATAGATTATTATAAATTTAATTAGTAAAGAAAATCCAATAATCAACAAATAACACAGGTTCGTTATTATATGACAGTTAAATGATAAACATCTATCTATATCTTCATAAGTTATGCATGGCCGATTGCATAAATTGATAATAGCAATAAAACTTAACTATTTCCTTGTTCTTCCTTGTTTGTACAGTTTTCACAACTGTATTTTACTAAATATTTGCTTTAAAATGTAATTAAATTGCAAATTGAGTTGTTTTTGACGTCCCTATTAAACAACATTGTTTTACCACATTGTTTCTAGTTTGGGCTTGCTATAGGCCTGTGTGTCATCGTCTTTTTATGTCACATCCTACGCTTTTACTACTTTAATGCTTCATTGCCTACTTCACTCCACTAGAATGTCTCAAAGTTTAAAGTGAAGAATGTGTAGAAAAGTAAATGAAATCAATCGAGCAAAGACAAACGATTTTGAAGAAAGTGTCGGTACACGAAACGGAAACAGTTTAACTTGAGTCACTTAAGTTACGGATGATGACGATTCTGAAAAATTGTGATTCGTCTAAATATCTTCCTAGTTTTGACACTTTCACCAAAAACATTTCCTTTAGTTTCCAGACTTTCATTGTAAATAATTCTTTAAAATAAAATTAAATGTCATAATTTATTGTTTATGCAGATATCATTAAAATCGTCATCATTCACATCATTCTTAGACACTTAACATGTTTAATGACATTTCCGAATGAATTATGAGCACCTATGCAAATTAAATACGTCAATTATTTCTATTATTGTTTCTTATTATTGCTATTGCAAAGATATTGTTATTATGAATTATCTAGACATTTGAAACTCTCCAAATATCTAATAAATATAATTAAAATACAGATAAGTGTGTCAGGACATCTAAAAAATGATGACAATAACAATTCTTATTTATAATCTGATTAAATGTGATTAAATATTCAATTCAACTATTTCGAAGAACCAAAATAGAAAGTTTTATAACAATATAATGCTATTGATTTTATATGTTAGTTAGTGACTAATTAACATTTTAGATTATTAGAACAACGTTAAAAAAACTTGGCATTTTGGTTATATTTAATGACTAGCAACTTAATTATTAAACAAATGCATAATAATTAATTTTTGAAATAAGGTTAGAACCACTTGACCAATAAACCTCAAAGATAACAAAGCCTATAAAAGAAATCTTTTATTTATTTCCTGCACTTAAATTCTATTCTATTGTACTTCCGGTAATGACCATATTGTAAAAGTTCATCCAGCCATTCATGGTAAAAAATGAGTTTACTAGATAAATTATCTATTTTACTTTTTGGCTGAATTACCAAATTGGTGATAATGAAGTTTTAGCCAAAGTGTGCAAGTGCCGGCTGACCTAGTTTATACCATGTGTCCGATGTGCTTCTGTGCTTGTATGCATGTTTGCGCTTTTACCGTGCGAACGAAAATAAAATTGCAGTCGATAATTTGCAATAATTTTAAAATCAAACTTTAACTACTCTAACTTCCTCTTACTTCAATCATAAACCCAATAAAAGCAATCAAAGCAATCAAAACCGAAAGAAGAATAATATTCTTTTTATTTAAGTATAGTTATATCAAGTTAAGTTAATTCTAAATAATTTAAGTTTATTTGAGTGCAGTAAAAAGAGAACAACATGCACATTGATTCTGTGTTAGTGCTTTATTTTTATGTTAATCACAATCAACCTTAGGCTCCACGATCATTGAAATTAAGAGCAAAATAAGTTGGAAGTCAAGCCAGAAGTCCGGTGTAATAAAAGCGCAGAAATTAACTCACCGTGCTCACAGTAAGAGCAAAAAGAAGTAAAATCAGTGAGTTGTTGAGTATTACAAGAAACCAGAATCACGGAATGAATACAACTAAAGTTAGAACAAGCAACAGTAAGAAATATCAAGATCAAGATTGAGAAACAAGTAAGAACGAACTAGAAAAAGTAAAGTGTAATAAAAATCTAGGAGTTGTTGGACTACTCTCGATTATACAACGCCTCAACTCCTCTGCTACACATAAAATTTAGTAGATTAACCTTATAGTTAAAAATCAGTCAAATATTTTGACAAGATTTGAAATTGTTAAAAATATTAAAAATGGCACCTCTGGCAAAGAAAGAGTAATTAGGTGAGTCACAAAATAGAAAAATATGTCCGGTGAAATTTGTGTAAACACGGAAGGAATGTCATCGCTAATTTCAATACCAATGCCAATATAGTTGTCCGTGTTGACTGATATTTAAAGTGGATGGCGATGGTGTTTGGCATTGGCAATGGCCGCGTACGAACCGCGCACGCTTTCAACTCTTCACTTACGTGCGGCGCGTTGAACTAACCTACATTATACTCTCATTCTCGCGTTCCGATAATAATCGCTTATTTAAACATATTCCAACGCTAGGTTTAATTCCCCAATGCAAACAACGTGACGCAAACACGCAACAAGCCAACTAATACTAATATAGGAAGTGGCCGGTAATTCACTTCAAAATTACTTAAGTGTATTTTAAATAATCATTTAAATACGTTTTCTTATTTTAAAAAATACTTTAATAGATTTATTAAAAGAGTACTTACCATGGCTTCTTTCTCTGCCTTGAGAACCATGTTTTCTATTTCTGCGGCGCTGATAGGTCCAGCCTTAATTTTTGTGGGGCCTTTGGGAACAGGCGCGGGTTTTGGTAGATAAGGCTTTATGTCTTTCGGATATCCTGAATACCCTGGTTGGGCTTGACTTGGGTACGGATCATCTTCGTCAATTTGAGCAGCTTGTTGCTTTCTGCGTAATCCAATTCTTAAAATAATAAAAACAATATTTTAATTTGTTTAAAACCAATTTTAACCTTTATTTTCATTAAATATTTGATTAAACTTACTCTTGAGCACCAAAAGCAGGTCCATCAGTATAATATCCTAAATCCTCAGCGTATTCACCATGACTATCTAGATGATGATGGGGATGATGGTCGTGATCACTCTCACTCCACCCTGGCGGCGGATGATCTAACTCAATGCCACCGGCGTGTATATCGTGCAAATGTGGCGGAAGGTGGTGCAAGTGCGAGATCTGATGATGGTGGTGGTGATATTTGGTGGGCGAGTAGTACGGGCACAGTTTGAAGAGATGGCCCAAGAAAGGAAACACGAAGAGGATGACTTTGAGCAGCAGCTTCTTGGCGGCGGCCACGCCCATGATAACTGGCAGAAAGAACATGAATTTCAAACTGAGCAGCTTGACAACGAGCACGAGGGCCGCCAGGGCCCACATTAGGCGCTCGCCGATGAACTTCTCTATAATAAAAAGAAACAAAAACTAATGTCACACACGAATTCATGAACAAATTCAGTGCAACAAACTTCCCAAGTGCATTAAGCAGTTTTTTATACAAAAGTTTTTTGCTAAAAGTTTTTTGTTTATTTTGAATAATTTAAGAGATAATAGAGAACTTCCTGTTTAAGCTGTCAAAATTATAGCGACTATATTTCATCATCCGGCCCATATGCAAAAATTACCCGAATTTATTTTTTTGTTATTATAGGTATATTATATAGTAATTAATAGTTTCCTATTATAACACTGATTTCCGGTCAAGTGCAGACTTGAAATTGCAATATCTCGGGCACTGGGTGAGCGAACAAAAAATGCAAACAGCAAAAAAGCTATACAGTTCCCTGCCTTTCGAATATGGTTCTCCAATTCTATAAAAATTGCAACCTGAAGATGCGGCCATTTTTTTTTAATCAACTAAAACCCGTTATACACCGAAATATTTACAACTGCCGCACGATTAAATCGCGCTTTTAAGAACATTAATAACATGGCTTCCAATCCATCATCAAACATAAAAGCGCATAAAATAATATACAGTATGTTCAGAATAATTACTTAATTTACATTCGTACAGACCTAACGGCTTTTAATGTTTACGTGAATAAATATATGCATGCAAGTTTTTGGTACATTTTTTGTCCCAATTTTTTCAAATTGACAGCGGCGTATCATGCGGAGAAGTGCCGATTGACTTTTTTATACACGTGAAAGTGTGTCATATATGAATTCGAGCAATTCGACCACCAGGAAATACTCACTGATTTTTTTAAAGAAGATACGTGGTGTGCCCACAGAAGACGAGCGTTCCTCAGCCTCGCCGGTTAAATCCAATTTGATAAGAGCGCCGCCATCTTGGAAGGCCCTAGGCGAGATGCGTACCGAAGCTCCTTCTGCCACAAATTCCGGCAGTGCAAGTTGGACGTCATGCGTGACGAAGAACTCTTTGATTTTGTCCTGCACTGATTTAGTCACTTCCTCTAAAGGGTTTGCTGCCCTTGCTGATGTCCCTTCAAGTTCATCATCGGCATCTTCTCCGCCGCTATTTGGTTCACTCTTGTTTTTACTTGTAGCACTACGCCAGGCACTATAATCAATGTCGTTTTTCCGAAAATTAAGAAACGACGCCACGCGCACATTCTGACTATTAAATACATTATTCAAATAGGAAACAAACTCCTGTTTCATACAGTCCAAGGACATATCCTTGCAATTACTTATACTCCTCCACAGAGAATTATCATCTGGGGAGGTTTCTATCGATGGCGATGCAATAATGCCCGGTATTAATATCACCATCGACAGTCCTAGAACGGCAAACATCACTAATCTTCTAAGTTCTAACATGGTTACTTTTCGGTGTTTGGCGGATGTTCTTTGATGTTAATCCAGTCACTTTGGTTATTTTACATCGTTGCGTTAATCAGGGCATAATACACGGCACACGGCACGTACGCACACACCACTCACACTCGCCCGGAACAATATTTTAAAAAGGCGCGATGAAGTCGAAGAACGCGTACGCAACCACTCTCGACGAGCCGCAGCACGTGAATAGAGAAGCGGCGGCTGCGCGCCGCAGACACTTATCATTTCTCGACACACTTCTCCCTACTCGCGAGACGTGCATCGAAGAAAGCAACACCGGCGTACACCGACTCGCCGAAAACACCGGGCAGAGAGCTTACTGAAGCCTACGAAGCGAATGTAAAACCGCACCGTACATCAGGACCGGACCCTAGATATAATTAAAATTATTTCTAAGCAATTTAAATATTTATCACACCAGATGGCGCCACATGGTAGTATATCAACTAGAGGTTATAAATAGAAGTAATTTTGTTTTTGTCAAATGCAAGTTCACAAACAATTCGACAATAAATTTCTGCTTTTTATTCAGCATTGTACTGTGGTGAATCGGCAAGTTTGTAGGTCTGTACGTGCAGTTACGAGATGCACTGCGATTGATGACACAAGAATTAGAGGTTAAGTGGACGAACAATGGCGGCTGTAACGTGAAAAGAGAAGAATCTTACAAGTGTATAGTACTTGCACATTACACAACTTGTATAATATAATTGATGCAATCGAATGCAATCGATTACGACGACGATTCATGAAGCTTTCAGTTATTTGAAAATACAGACTCTATGTTTTTGGCTTAGCAAACTGTGTAACAACTCGGTTTTTCCACAAATTCGATGCGTTGTTACGTTTTAACACATACAATACACATTTCTCCGCATTTCATTGCGAGCATGCGAAGTGCTCGAATACCATTGACCAATATACGGTGTCCTCATTAGCTGCTCTCCGCGCGACGAAGAAACGATACGACACACGAAGATGACCACGCGAGCATGGTCATGGCGACGATTGTAATAGCCGGCGATCGAAACGATTCACGAACGCAAACGCTCGGAACAATCGAAAAACGAAACCGACCAAACACACAAAAACGAAATCTCGTACCAAGAGACTCGCGTTCCCATGGTGAGGCAGCGTTTTAATATAGACGCCATCTTCTTTAAACCATCGGTTAATTCTGATGCTTTGTATGCATTGTAGATAAATCTTCACATGAATTCGATAATTGCGCATATTAGAGATAATCGATTCAAGCAAATTTGAATAGCAGTCTCTTTAAAAAATATCTAATGTGAAGATTTGTTGAATTGGAGAATAGAAAAAAAGGTCAGCAGGCATTTGCGATGGGTCGTGTTGTCTCGGACAGCGCTGGCGCTGAGCGGCATGTTAATTGTTTATTATTCATGTTATTCATGCTCGGCATCATTTTTTTTCCGCCATCTTGATCTTCGAAAGCATGACAACTTTCCGGAAATAGTTAAATCATCATTTACTGCATAAAAATTATCATTTTTAAATAGCAGAACAACAAAACATAGAAATTCCTGATAAAAAATTAAAATTATTGCATAGTTATGTAGTGCGTATCTTCCTGCTGCGTATTATTCTAAATATGACTAGTCTTATGTTAGGTCAGTGTAATACAAACAAAATTGGCTCGAATTATTCAATTATATTACACCTAGTGCAATTCAATTGTTTCGGTTGTAATTATAAGTTGTTTAATTTAATAACAATTTAATTTGTTACACTTAAACAAATTACACGCCAAGATGAGACAACAATGATCACATTTGATTAATTATAATTCATTACTGCATCGCTTATTACAGTGCGCCACTTAAATGTGACTTAACTGCGACTAGACTGGTCTAAACTTAAGTCAACTTGACTTTTGTCGTTGGCATATTTAATGTCATCACATTATACGCACATAACATTACACATAATGCGATTACGATTATTTTTTCAAAGAAATACAAAGAGAAATGATATTTATCTTGAAGATTTTTTGCAATTTGTCGTTTGGTTGCATGCCTTTGTTACCGTTTTTTGTTTTAGTTTCGTTACATTTGTCGTTTGTCAGTTTTTTGTTGTTTTTCTTCAGCGATGGACGTAATGGCTCATTTAAAAAAAATGAATACCTAATTTTGGTCGACGAATGTAGACCAAATTTAATTCGGTGTACGTCGACAATCTCCAAATCTTCACAAAATCTAACTAGAATAATGACCATTGCAATGTATAATGTATGTTCGTTACCGCAGTGTTATTAAGTCGACTCATGCATTTCATGTTTTATATGGGTATGTTCAATCCGTGTTGAACATTTGGCACATGCCAAAACCAGCAACAAGAAATTATGACGCACGGGTGCGAAGTGAGGTTATGTATAACAAGTTGCCGTCATGCGGTGAATGACAACTGTTAAATAAGGATATGTTGTAAAGTTTTTACTGTTAGCTAACCTGACAACTGAATAAATGCTTTAAAAAGTGAATTTTATTTATGATTTGTTAAAAAGAAGAAATTTTGCGCAGACAAAAATTAAAATAGCCATAAATTAAGTTAACACGCGACTATGTGTAGACTAGTTTAATGTTAAACCAGCTTACGGCTAGAACTAGCCGCATTAACAGATGAAAACTTTTAATTAATTAACTAATCAACGTTAAACATCGATTTAACACTGCTCAAATGCTATAAATTATTGAATTAAAGCTGAAAGTGTACGTGTGAAGTGTGTACTAACTAATATAGTTAGTAGTCATTTGGTTATTACTTTTACTATTAATTAGGGCTTGACTCAAGAGAATAATTCCAGATAACTTTCCAAAGTCATCACTTTTTCACTTTTCATGCACGCATCTTCAATCTTCGAATGATATTAATTACGAACATAAGCTTATTAAACGGAAAAATTTAACGAGCTTTACTTTTGCGTGTTTAGCATCTAATTCGCGTGAGTATGTGCAATTAAAGTATTAAACATGCGAAAGTAATTTTTATATTTATGTAAGTTTAATCTGATATCCCATTTTTTCAGTTGATGTACTTTCTCGGCAAAGAAACTGAAAAGAAATTTATGTTGGAGATAAAAATATTTTAAAAATTAGAATGTGAATACTAAACTTGGAAAAGTGAAGTAAGCGTGTCTTTGGGTTGCTCACCATCGAATGAAGTTATAAACAAAATCATGGAACGAAACTAAACGAGAACGAAACGAAGTGTTAAACGTTTCATTAGGAGAAGCGACAAGGCAGTGCTCAGGTGCTGTCGTTCGAACGTTTTTTGGAGCGTGCCCGTCGACCAAATCGGCGTGACAATTTTTTCTACGGAAATATTTACCAAGCGAAATGAAAATAAACAGAAAAAATTATCACTTATTTTTTTAATAAACAAATAAAAATATTTGAGCGTTGGAAAAATACGTAGATTTATTTTAATAACATTTAAATATATTTCTGTGATAGTGCGTAAATAATTTACGCATTAATGCGTTAAAGTTACGCTGTTTATGACAACCGTGGAATAACAACATCTTCCGTAATTTTGTTGTTTATCTTTAGTCAAAAACCGTCACCAAAAATATTTGTTTAACCTCATAATTCAAAAGAAGTTCCAAAAGTTATTTTAACTTAATTTTGTTCTTAATTAAGTCGAGCGGCAGAGTAATAAAATATGCATAAATCAATCTCAATAAAAATAGAGATATCTTCTATTTAAACCTAATTTAGTACAAAAACTTTCATAAAAATCATCAATTATTCAATTTTCCTAAAGTTATAAGTCTACAAAGTTTGATTTTAGTACTTATTATCAATATAATAAAATAAATTAAATTAAATTCTGTGTGAATGTATGTTATGAAACTTATTCGTTTAAAACGTGTTAAATTAATGAAGTTTACTAAATGAAATGAAGAAATGTTTTTAAGCAGTTAAATAGTTCGAGACTCACAAAATGCGCACATAAAAAGTATTTATCTACTGCTTTTTCTTGCTCTTCTTCTTCATCTAAATTTTTGGTGTTTGCGTTTCACTACTTACAACGCTACTTAAAACGTTAAGAATACCGACAATATAGGCTAAGCATTAAATCATAAATTTAAAATTACCGCGACTCAATTCGGAACAGGTCTAAATTTTTTGATTGACATGAGAACAAATGCCAAAAATAAACGAAAGGTGTGAATAAAAACAAGAAGCTAATAATGGTTTTATTCCAGTTTTACTCATGCATGCTAATGGCTAATTTTTTAAACGTATTTTGCGGTTTTTAGTGGTTTTAATATTAAAATGCAATTTTTTGCATAGAAATCATAATTTAGTTCGAATTTTTCGTATTAATTTCATTTATTTCATAAATAATTCATCAGATATATTTTTAACTTGAGTGATTAATTCATCATTAGCTTTCTATTTAATTATTGCTTTGAATTTGCGCACAAGCGCACCAGAATTAGTTTAATTGATTTTTTTTTCGCTAAGTTTTAATTTGACTTACGTGAAGCAATACTCGTACATAACATTTTGTTTCTAGACGTAGTCTGACATTCTTTGTGTTATTTTTTCATCACGTATTTGTTATATCAATTTGTGGTGTTGAGTTAAAGTTAATCGGAAACAGCAATTATTCACGGTTAAAGGCGAAATAAATTACGCGTTAAATTACTCACTGAGCAATCAATGTCCGTAATCAATGCTCATTTCATCGCGCGCGTGCGCAATAGTCATAATACTTAAACAAAAAAACAACTAAAACAAAAAACGTGCATTAAACATTATAGCTTCGGATCGTAAATATCTGTTACCTTCCGATTTTTATCTACTTATTAACTTAAGCAAGAAAGCCTAGATTATTTTCTTATAGTTAGTTAAAAATCCAAATTGTTAAGTTAAAGAAAACAATAACTTAACTAAAGTTTTTATTTTGTTCAACACTAATTCGTTTTAGTTTCAAGTTCAGTGCGCATCAGAGTCTGAGCTCAATTGAAATTAAGACTAAATTCTTTTCCGAATTCTAATGATTAATTAAACTGTAATGAATGCCGCCAGCTAAACATTATCACAACTTTAATTGTGTTAAAACAAACTAAAACTAGTTTAAAGTAGAGCGTCGAAGAATTCATTAAGTAATAAGTACATACTCTTAATGATTAAGTCACCATTTCCACTTAAAATTTAATTTTAAATAATAAACAATTATTATTAATACCAAACTCAACTAATTGTGAATTAAGGCGTGATTATTGATACGCTTCTTCACACTGCACACTGCACAACGATTGCGTTCGCGCTATAATTCTTAATTCGCGAATTATAAAAAGCGGGTCGAGTTCAGCTTGAGTTGGAACTAAAAAAAGTTAACAAGACTTAAATTGAGTAAATTGAGCTAAGCTGAGTATATTTATTTACTGAGTAATTTGTTTGGTACCGAAATTATGTGCGGCACGTTCATTTATTTAAAATTAAAACTTAATCAACTCACGTTAGATAATTTTTTAGAATTTGGACAAAGTTTCAGACTTAAAAATAATTTCAGCCTGTTATTAAGTTAAGCAATGTTTCAAAAATATATGTATATTGTTAAAAGAATTAAAAATCAAGTTGTTTTTAATATCCGGTTCCTTCTGATCGACCTGTTAAGCATGACAAGTTGAAGTGTCACGAAAACGATCAGAAATTAAAAATGTTCGAAACAAACAACAGTTATGTTTTAATTAAAAAATAATTTTTACTCTTTTATAATAATCGGCATTAATTTACATTGAATCTATTTGTTGGTAAACAAATTGTGTGTAATTCATGTGCGTAAACATTTTTTCCGGGGATAAAAAACGAAATGAAAACGCGGAACGCCCGTGGACAATTCGATTACGTTGCGATTACTGTTAACGTCAAAAAGAGAAGCGAAGAGTCGCTGAAGTTGTTGTCCGCCGTCCGATGGTCAATGATCGTTTCTAGTTCAAGGATAAACAAGTCTGTTGACCTACTTTTGCACTGTCTGACTGTCTTACAGTGTTTACCGGCTTACTAAACTAGTGAAGGCGTAAAAAGTAAGAAAAGATTTAACAAACACTCACCGTATGCAACTCAGCGAACATGTAGTATATCCGAATATTATTATTAAATTTATAGCAGTGGTAAAATGCAATAAATGTTAAATAAATTAAAAATACCATTTATAAACTTTTCGAAGTTTTTAATCATGTAAATTTTAAAATGTGTGATAACTGTATGCAACAAAACACGCACCTTTCTTCACACCTAACCTCGTGCTGCATTTTGTCCATTTAATAATTAAATACCACGAAACACAATAAAAATCTTCACGAAACCATGAAACCGGAATATGAACTAGTCTCATTTCATATTATTGGTAATAATTATAACTATTTAACAAATAAAATTGATTAAATAAACGTTTTTTTAGAAAAATTCAACACTAGTTCACTTGTAACATGGACTTATCCAAGTATATCAGATGCACTAAAGCAGAAACTACAACAGACTTGTTTACTAGATAAAGCACACAAGTCAGACTTTATCTACCATCGCCTAGATAAGCAATGGATCTATATCTGGGAGTGTTTCAAAGAACAAAAATGTTATGCACTTGCATTAGTCACCAAAAGTTTCAATCCCAATAAGTATAGACAATTTGGCAGCCACCTATGCAGTATTTATGAGATAAACTACAAACCCATTGAGTTAGTCAAAGTGTTTCTGGGTGCATTTACTAATGGCAGTTATAAAGTGCAACAGAATGGTACCCAGTGCAATGTATATTTCAATGAGTCTAAAATGATTCAAAATGAAACATTTGAAGGTAATGATTTAAGAAAAGCATGTTTTATATATTATTGTTGTGTTGCATTGATTTTAGACTTGATTTTGCATGATTGTTTATATGTTGTTGTAATGATTTTTAGAGCTTGTGAATGCATTTGATGTGGAGATTATTTTGATTTTTAATGCATTGTTGTTGAAAAAGAGGATATTTGTGTATCATACTGATTTTAGCTCATTGTTAAAGGTATTTTAGTCTTAGAATAACTTTACTTGACATTAATTGTAACAAGATGAATTTTTTAGCATATTGAGGTGATGTCCAGGCTAATCGACGTTAAACTTCGGGATCCAAACGAGTATTTGTTTCCTTGCGTACGAAACATTAACTTTGAGTTAAAGGTAACCTAAATGCACACTTTATTTCATATGAAAAATACCTAATATGCAATTTTCCAGGGCAAAACTTTCTTCATAGCTGGGGTAGTCGATAAAAACATCAATATTAAACCAGATGCGTATGATCTGTTCGTAAACTTACAAAACAGCTCAATAAAAATCTCTCCAAACAGTAAAGGTAATAGTTATCATATTCACACCATAAATTTATGAATTTAAATTTGTTTTTGCTCCAGATATTTTCCAAATGACAAAATGGCATAAAGAAATAGCGTTACTTCTCACAAATGCAGAGAACACCGAGAAAATGACGGATCTGTACACGAAGACGTCAAATCTGTTATCAAACTTAAAAAGTTTCGCTGAGGCCTCTCCGACTGAAGAGGGGCAATCAATGGTGACTCTAGACGCACTCCGAGCTAAGAAGTTACCTGCGGCTATGGAAAACTTCCTGTTTAATCTTGCGGTTGCGGAAAACATTATGATGCTATAAATATTCCAGACTTTATCATTTTGATACTCCGAAAATATGTAACATAAATACGCTTTTTATTATAATGCATTCCTCTCTCTCATTGCCTATGTACATATATTATATTATCAACAATAACACTTATCACTAGCAATTAATTGATGCAGCTTGTTATGTGAATTATTTAGGGGTAATCTTATCAACTAAAAAAATTATTTAAAAATGAAATAACTTATCGCGCAATTCTGTGCTATAAACTATAACTAAACTCACAATATCGTGAGAAATAGTGCAGTAAATGATATCCATGATTATTAAATTAATTTTTACCTATATACCGTGCTATAGAAAATTATTACACCCAGTACAATTTTTGGTCGTCTCTACGATACTGCAGCTTCAGAACGTGACGATAAATCTTTAATGCTGGTCCCAACTTCAAATGCAAACCCTTCAGCACGTCCATTCGTCTCATCAACAGGAGGGAATGTCCATCAATTTCCTAAATATGAACATGATTAATTAGATATTTTATTAATCACATTTTGTAGTTTTTACTCGCCTGTTCTTTGAAAACTCTCGCTTCCTCCGGAAAATACTCGGCAAAATACTGCGTGACTTCATCCGGACTCCAGTTACTCGCATCCGGAATGGACGGATCTATATTCTCATCGATTGTATCCATATCTTCGTCTTTGATGCTGGGAGAGTCAGATTTGGTGTCAAACTCTGAAGAGCAGTGATTAGCGTGTCCATTATGATTCATCTGTGGACTCAATGTAGGTAATGTTGGACTGGAAGGTGAAGACACAAAGTGCGGGCTTGAATTGCGTGATAAATCAGGACTCAAGGCAGTGCTTTCAGGAGTTTCTTCTAAAAAACGAAATAAACAACAAAATTAATATTAAATATAAGAATATTTAATTTCCTTACCATTTGCGTCGATTGGTTCTGTCTTTTGTTCTTGAACTGCACTGCATCCAATCTGAATATGATCGACAGCGAGTTGATCAGCCATTTTGCAATTATTACACAACCACTTCGTCGTCGGCTTGATCTTCTCAACAATGCGCGGCGAATGACATGTGTTGTGGTATGCATCAGCACATATGGAACACACCACTAAATTCCCCTGCAGAGATAAATTCTGATATTCACTAACATTTAATTTAAATTGATTTATTACTTACAGCATCTGAAGTTTCATAGCAAACTACACATGTCTTGCAATGTGGACACTGCCATGTGTTATCTGGATACATCTTTAACATCATATCATCACCATTTAGACAACTAGCATGAGCTGAAACAAATTTAAATATTGATTTAAAACATAAAACTAAACAAAATATATAATAAAAGAATAAAAATTAATTTTTGTTCTGATAGAACTAAACTTTGTTTCTTGGACCTAAAATAATATTTAAAAAGTTGTTTTACCTTTATTGCTGCATTCTCTGCATGAAATCATTTTATCCACAGGCCCCTTTTTGTTCTGAATGTGGCAAACAGAGCAAACACCACCTTCAGGTCGCCCATTTTGTGATGCCCTAGATTCAGGCCTAGAATTATTCTCCAATGTATTCATCTTCTTGTAAGCATTTTTTGTTGAACCAGGAGGACGCCCGCGTCGTTTGGGCATGTTGCTTTCAGATGGATCAAACACCTTTTTTGCCTTCTATCAATTAACAACCAAACAAACAAAATTAATACAATAACAAAAACTGTTTGCTTTGTTGTGGTATAAAGTGCAGTGTGTAGCAATCTATTCTCAAATCTGTCAAACATTACAAGTTAACCTAAATGTTAAAAATAGATAAGTGCATCTCAAACATTCAAAATTTAAATAGAAACTTAAAAAAATGAGATACATCTTACAAACCATTGTCAATTTATGTTGTGAGGTTATTTCGGTATTGATTGTTTTACTAGTTTCACTCTTTCTGCTACTGTTTTATGTATGTATGACTGTGACAGTTATCTTGTTTGGTAAAGTGTGTGAAGCATTAGTGGGTTTGGTGTATATTGGGTTGCTGATGTATGATTTACCTTCCTGCGACCGCCGACGCGCTGGCTGTTCTCGTTCAACGCGTGCTTCATGTTGTCCATGGTGAGGCGCTCCCGCTTGGAGACGACGCGGCCGCCCTTCGTAAGAACCGAACCGCGCTTGTGATAACGTCCGCGTAGCGGAGGGCGGCCGCGTGTGGGGGCGTACGTTATACCCTTTACTGTATCCGCACTGTGATCACTCCCACTACCCCCACTGCTACCTCTACTATCATCGTCGTCCATTTCTGTTTCACCTTCCTGCTGTTCGGGACGAGACTCGTCCTTTACTTCTTCTTTGGTATTGAGGTAGCCACACTTTACATCTGGCTTCACATCCAACGGTTTACGATGCATTGCTTGATGCTGCCGTAACTCTTTCTTGATCTTAGTCAACTGTTCCTTTTCCTGATGTGCTGATCCGCCATTTTGTTTCTTTGCGCCGACACTCTGCGGTTTACCAACCAAAAAATTACCATTTTCTAGTTTTACCAATCCACCATTTTCAACCTCTTTCTGTAAAAGTATCCAGAGATACTTTTTAGTGTATCTTACACTGTCCTTATTCAAAATGGTTTGAATCAGATTGCATTCTGGTATGCCATACTCCAGATAGTCTGGCTCCTGCAGCACCAGTTCTGCGAACGTGTTTGTTAACAAGTTGGTAAACTTTCGTCGTGGTTTATTGTCCAACCTCCCGCCCCCTCCAGCAGTGGCTCCGCCCAAGCCAGGAGCTGCTGCTAAATCTGCGAAGGCGGCGCGTCGCTTTTGACGCGCGTATTTCTTCGCCGCGTTGCGATAGCTAATGTTGCCCTTGTAGGAGACGCGCAGGACGACTCCGCTTTCAACGCAGCGATCGAGGGCGATGCGTGAATCGTTCGAGCCAAGGCCTTTGCGTCGAAACAGACAGTTGTAGATGCGCTCAGCGTCCGGTCGCGCTTTGCGTCGACGAAGCTGATCGATCGCATCCAGGATCAGATCCTGATGTGGTATCCAATCACACATGATGGCAAAGTTTCATAAACTTTACAATTCTGTTACAAACAAATATCTTACATCAAATTTTAAGTCATGTTCGTTTTATTTCGCATATTTTTAGAACGCTTTGCGCGACATCTAGTATAAATAATCAAGTTGTGCGCGGTATCAACGCATTAATTCGCGTTCAGCGCTCGGGAAGTTTGCGCTGCGTGTTATTATGCGGCAGCTCTCGTCCGAAAATGAGATGCGGGAATTGCTCGGCAAAGTTTCGAGCGCACAGCCGCCGCCATCAATTAGCCATCGAAAATTCAATAATCGACGCCGCGCCGCGAGATGTCACGTTCGCGATAAACAAATGCGGCCGAAACGATTCCAATGTCGATGCTCATGTACTGCAGCCACGGCGCATCGAACCGCACCTGTCGATGTATGCACGAACTAATAACCATAAACCAAACACGAGTCAGCCTCAAGACGCCCAGTTGTGATTCAATTAAACTTACGCGCGTTGTTTGTATCTGCCAGCGGACGCGCGTTTTGTAACCTTAAAGTTAATTCTTTGTGGCGCTCGCTGCGTCCGGGCGAGAAAGTGCGTGCAAAGCGCGCATTGCGTTTTGCGAATCTGATATCAGAGAGTCTTCGCACGTGATAATACACACTTTGCCTGCGGATGGCAAATGTTTTGCGCGTTGTTTATACATGGCTGCGACGCGCAAAGCCGCGCAGCCAGACGACGCCTGCAGCAAGGCCGCAAACTTACCGGATACCGTCAGAGTTTTCGCTCGTCGCAGGGATGGCGAAACGCGGAACTGGGAATGCGCGCCTTACAACGCTAGCGCACAGTTCGAGCCCAACGTGCGGTCGCAACACTGAGCCATACACTGAACTGTCGCTTGCACTGCCGAAGCGCGATCCGGCAAGTTGCCGTGCGAGCGCGCGCCGCGCGCGTCGATAAACACCCAACCGCGCCGCGGAATATTTAATCCTGCTGCCGCTACATTTCACAATCAACACGCAAAACAAAAATTACATATGATCTAAAATTTAATACGCGCTTGACGCAGCAAGATGTCAACCGACTGTTTGCGGACTTGTTTCCGTGAATAATAACATAATGGCAAATTGCGTGTTGATTGGCTTGATCTTGAAACTGATCGAACGCGCATTCATTTCTGCGGTGTGCGCGACACAACCTCAAAAACTCAACAAGCGCGACTGAAACAAACGAAGGCTGCACTCACACGCTGAGTTTGTTTGCGCACTGCGCTGATTAGCGCTGCTGATTCCTGCAGTTTCGATAACGACGTGGTGCTCCCAACGCACAGTATTTTCTTCGTTCGATTTCACAATTTGCCCATAGCGCAACATACGCGCAAAAGGCGCATAACATGATTTTAAGTTGCGCTGTATGCATTTTGGGATGCCTGCATTTGGGCGCGTGGACGACGCAACAGCCGTGCTTGCGGCACCCGGCATCCCAAAACGAAACGAAATGAAAAGCGTTCGCAATGCGCACACCGCCAACGCCAATAAAAAAACAAGAAACAAATCAAGTGCGAACGGCGCGAATCAACAAGCAGTGTGTGTATATGTGGTGGTACGGCAGCAATCTTACCCTATGGTCCGTAGTTTTTGCGTGCGCTGTTGTGCGGGATATTCACGGTGACACTTTTGCGACTCGCAAAACGTCGCGTGTCGTGCAAATTCACTAAAGTGGTTTAGTAGATGTGGGTACCTGCGAGTGATTCTTCAGCTGACAGCGCGCGCAACGAAATCACACGGCACGAGATTGTGTAAGTTGCGCGCTTCGGGCGGAGCGGCGTGCGAAAGTGCGTACGCTCGACGCGTGCGACAGCGACTCGAGACCAACGCGCACTGCACACCGCTCGCTGTCGCTGCCGGTTTTGCGTCCGCCGGGGTTGCTCGCAGGCGCACGCCCGCTCCTTCCATCCCTTTTGCCGCCACACATCGCCAAACCTAGATACTCGTATGCAAACAATTGCAATCCAGCATCGCGTTAATTTGTTTGTTAATTGAATTTAAACTTTCAGTCACACCTTGAACGCTGTTGACGTGACGCCATTTTTTAATAACAGACGTTACTCCAGCTCATATTCAACGCATTATTGATAAATTTATGCATAATATTGAATTTTGTCACGATTCAACTTGAATAAACAACTTCGGCGTTCGGCGCATTTGGTGCAATTTTGCGTGTGTGCGCGCGCCGCCATTTTGTTACGCTATGAAAACAAATAAAGCGCTCGAAGCGCACAAAACAAAATCAGTTTCTTTGCACGTACGCCTTTAATCGTTGAGAGGTTTGGTGCCGCGCGGCGTACATTGTCGAACGGTGCGTTATCGTTTCGGCACGGTAAACAGTCGACGCCGCTGACATTTCAGATGAACATATTTATCGCATCGCATTTGCTGCGATGCGCTTCGCATGCGTTTTCGTACATTTCAGACAATGTTTTCCTTCTAGCGTAGTCAAAACCAAATGGAATAGTCTGAAATACATGTCATTTCCTGCACTAAATCATCTTATTCACGTCGGATTATTAAGTTTCGGGATATTGAACGTATTTGGTTGGTTAATTGTGATTTAACGAATGAAAAAAACGCGAAGCGCATGTTGACAATGCCGCCTATTGAAGCACATGAGGTTTATTATAGGCAACCATACATACGCATCATATGTTCTTGTTTAATCACGCACTTTTGCAAATTGGTGATATAATTCATACAGTCAACCAAATTAATCATAAGTATTAAGAACAATTGCTAATCTAATGTTTATTTACCTTAGTTTTATTTAATTTCGTAATATGCACTTAATAATCCCTCTTCCTTGATCTAAAAGCGCAACTGCAGGCAACCAATTGAACATCACTACACAACTAACAATAACCAGACGAAAACATTCATTGTTTCTAAAAATTCTGTAACCATGTTCAAATATCGAAAACAAGTGAATAATGTTTCGCTTTCTATTATATTACACCACATACAAGCACTTTTCGCTAATTTGTTTCCTATGTACGTTTAAGTAATCATTTAAAACCGATTTCCAGTTTATCAATAAAAACGAATGTTTATAAACCAACAATGTTTATAACATCTCTTCAAAACTAAACGCATCTACAGGACTAAATATTCGTTTGATAGTGAATGTAGTACCGTGAGATCACAATGACAAAAGTTTCTTGAATATAATCTAAAACTTCCACAACCGTCTAGAAAATTCTAGAATCAATCCATTCGTTTCGTTTCGACTCCCGGGTTTCCGCACCCCACACAATAATTACAAACAAATGTTATACAATTCATTTTACATCAGTTTGAATTTTTTTTTTGGCTACACTTTCTTCTTCTAGGTTAACTTTGGAGGTTATTTTAATTTACGCTGCTTATTTAGTGTACGCACGCTTCATTTGTTTCAACATTTTGTTATGATAAATATATCTTCTCTGTAAGCTTTGTTCACTTTGTTCAATTTGTTATGTTACAAGAAATTTTATGTATAATAGATATTTATACGCAGTACATTTGCACGTTAAGAGGATATTGCTTTTATCGCCAAAGTATAACACTTCATTATGCTTGTAAATTTGAACTTTTGCATGCTGCTGATTACCATACGATTCAATTACGCTAGTAATTTGAGTGCAAAGATATGTTATAGCATTGTTTCAAGTTTTTAAAGTGTTTTACGCGTGCATGCAATAATTTTCAGCATTTGCGTTGTATCTACACGTACGATGTACAAGAATGTGCGCCACAAGAGGAAGAGAATTACATATTCACATTTTTTTCAACATCATTCGAAAATCCCAATAAACAAGTAATTTTGGGGCTTGTTTATTGTAATTTTGAGGCAATCAACAGCATATTATGATGGCAATATAGTGTTTTTTGTTTGCTTTGTTTGGGAATGTAATGTTACCAACTAGTTTTTACATTTACAATCATTTATAGTTAATAATATAACATCGGCGGCCATATTGTCTCCCATAATTAAGCTGTACGCATGTACGCTGTAACGTTTTGCATCAAAATGGCCACCACTTTCGCATTAACTAGAATTTAGTTGGTTTGCCTAATAACAACAAGAAACGTGATAAAAATGCACAATTGGTTTCGTTTCACAACAGTTGCTTGGTTTTCGACCGCTGCTACAATAATTAATCTTGAAATATCTCAATACTAAGCAGATATAAATAATTTTTAAGTAAATCTTCATAAAGTATTAACTTACACATGATAAATAGTTTGATAAATACTTTGATGGCATGATTATAGCGCAAAATCAAAAACAATCAGGGGCGGTACGTCCATCTATGCCGTGATGTTGCACTCGTCTTCAATGATCTTTCCCTGCACGCTCTGTCATTTTACTATGCAATTCACTCAACAAATAGCAATAATTACAAAATAACAATTAGAGTAACAATAATAGTTTTTGACTCTGCGCTAGCCTAAAATTCTTACAAACACAATCAATCGAAACATAACCATAACAAAATTTACAACTTGCATATTGACTTGTATTGACCACACATTGCCGCATTAGTTGAATCGCGTGGGATTACACGCGATTCGTGTAAGTTTCTAAAAGAATTTGAGGTACAGGGTTAGGGTTAATTATTTATAGTTGTATACCCTTAAGGAATCAATCAAATCGCAACAACAATCAACAACACGACCATGATTATGACAGTACGCATTGTTACACATGCGTAAACACAGATAAGGTTAGGTATAGGTTAAGTGAGGTTGGGATGTCGTAATGTGTTTGGGAGTTATTTGAGTGAATGGGTGTCAGTACACGTCTTCGAAGTGCACCGGTGTCAAGCGGCTGTGTCTGCGTGCGGCCCGCCGGCCGCCCCTTCGGCCACTCCTCGAGCACTTGATCTAGCATACGCCAGAGTCTAGGAAGCCCTCGTCTTCCAGCTTCGTGAGCAGTTTTATCACCTTGTGACTTTCGCTCTGCTTTGCCATGTCGATAATCGCCAGCAGTTTCTTTACACCGACGAATATTCTGTCAATGAAACAAGAAACATCGAATTAACAAGGTATGCTCCGTAAAATATCATTTTTGTAAAAGTTGGCAGCATTTATTGCAAATAAAGTTGAAAATGGATATTTTGCACGAATTATAAGCACTTCTATGAAGTTAATAACTTTCTTTGAAATGAAAACCACTATTGATTAGAATTTTGCAAAAAAGCAATGATTGTGAATTTACTGGATATTTTAAAAACAAACGATCTACAAACAATATCAAAGAATTATTTGAGTAAACCTTGGTCGAATTATCCTTTTGACCCCAACACGTCTTTAAGATAATTTTCAAAGTGAATATATAAGAAGTTATTTGAGATTTTATGAAAGTTATTATGATTAGTGAAATGTGCGAAACTCACCGTTTGCCAGTAATTTTCTTCGCAATTGACGCCAATTCCTGCTTGTTGAATACTTCGGTACTCTCAAGAATCGCCATCACTTGCTCCGGTTTGTTGATATTCGGCACATGCAGAATACCTGTAAACGCAGGCAACATTTCCATTTCTTCAAGCACCTGCTTCCTGCTGCTAGTGCACAACACCAACAATTTCTTGCCTGGTGGCGGTTCTTTCTTCAGCAGAATCAACAACGCTTGTAGTGTTAAATTGGAGTACCTCGGACCAATTGGACCGTAATCCAGCAATCGCTCAATGTTATCAACTAAGATACAGGAGATTGTCGAGCGGTAGGCATCGTCAAACACCTAAACGATCAAATTATACAAAAAAATTGAGTTAATGTTTCAAAAAATGATAATCTAACCTTTCTGAGATGAAGACACTTTGCAGTCTCAGTGTATCCAACCATTTCATCAGGGGAACAGATTTTAACGAATGGGTAATCGGAATTCTTCGCCAACTGCGCAGCGAGGGCAGATTTTCCAGAGTTTGGCGGGCCTTCGAGTAGCACCGAAACTAAACCAGCTGTTTCAGGATCTCGTGCCTGTTGAATGTACAACATGCCATCTTCAAGGATGCCTTGAACCGGGCGACCCCAGTTGACGATACCGCGCGCGAGCATCTGACTCAAAAGTTCCTGCGCTGTACCGAAAGCAGGCTTAATATCGTTCTCCAATGCATGTAAAAAGTCTGAACGTGTCACGTTCAGCTTTTCGATGGCTTCCGGATCTACTTCCACCTTGCTAGCAGCTTTAATTAGGCGGTTCATGGCGGAACCTTGCGCGGCACGTACAAGACCTTCCAATTCCGCACCGGAGAAGTTCTTGGTGAGTTGGGCCAATTCCTAACAGGAAAGAGTACAAAATTAAGAAAATGTTAAATATTTTATTAAAACATTGTGTTTTACCCTGTTATCAACATCAGGTGCAATCTTCTTGAAACTCTTCATTCTAGAAGTGTGAATGTTAAGAATCTGGAAGCGGCCATCTTCGTTTGGCAAACTGATCTCCACCTGTACTTCAAGACGACCAGGCCGCAAAAGAGCATCGTCGATCATATCGCGCCTGTTAGTCATGCCGATGACAAGAATATTATTCAACTCATCAACACCGTCGATTTTTGAGAGCAGCTGGTTGACGACAGTGTCATGCACGCCTGTGTTACCCGCAACTGAACCTCTCTGCTTGCAAATGGCGTCGATTTCATCGAAGATAATAATATGCAAGCCACTATTAGCGCCTGCCTGAATTGAATAACAAATAATGGTTGAGTATATTATATTATTTATTAATTGATAATGCAATACCTTCTTCTGTTCTTCTTCGGCGTCCGCAAACAATCGACGAATGTTTGCTTCGGATTCGCCGACATATTTGTCTAAAATCTGAGGACCGTTGACAATTTTCGGTTCGCGAGCGTTTAGCATGTTGCCAATTTGTCGCGCCATCAAAGTTTTACCAGTTCCAGGTGGACCGTATAACAAGATACCTTTGACGTGCTTGCAACCTGAACAAAAGCAAAATTATTTGTCTGGTTTAACATGCACTCTACTCTATTTTACCTAATTGTTCAACAATCTCTGGAGGAAAAACTCTCGACGCAAATGCACGACGGAAAATGGCGTTGAACTGATCGTCCAAGCCACCAATTCCCATCTTCTGGAAGTTCCAGTCTGGATTGATGATCGACTGGCGTGGTTGAACACTAAATATTAACACAATTAGCAAAAGCATGGATAAAATTGTAATAAATCAACATACCCTTTGGCTTTTCCAGTTAAATTCAAAGATGAGTTGTCAGCTTTCTCAAACTGAACGATAGTGTTAGGAAGCAAACGGCCAAGCTTCACCTTGTTGGACTTTGCGGGTTTGCCGCTTTTAATAGCGTCGAGATCCGCCGCTTCGCAGTCCTTCACGAAAAGCGACAGCATCTTCTTATTCTGGAAGCTAAAAGCCAGCTGTTGGCCGACAGTAAATGCCTGGTTACAGAACTGATGGATAAATTCTTGCGCCATTTGCTCAGTATCGTATGGTTCTTGGGTAGTACTAAAATGTAATTAAATTAGTGGTAAATATTCGAGAATTTGTTTTGATAAAGAAGGAAACTTACGTTTTTTTAGCTAGGAAATCAGCTTCCAAGATAATAGCAGATAAACACTCATTAGTGTTAAAGTTGAATGGTCTCACCTCAATATCCTGATTGAGTGACAAAACTGCCCATTTTCTCTGAGGCAAACTGAAGCCCACAGACCTTCTGCCCACTTCAGGATGACTCTTGATGGAGAAGACAAACCTTTGGTTTGCTCCAGTGTGTACTTCAATGTGCCTAAACAAATACAAATCACAGTTATAAATAATTTATAATTCTGATAGTAGGTGATAAACTTACTTGACATCATCAGGAAAGTCACCTGGATTAACAATTGCACAGTTGGTGAGTGACAAGTCATCTGTAGGGCATTTGCTTGCCTTGAACTCCTACAAAACACACAAAATCAGCAAAATGTATCACTGATACACCCCTAGTAGTTAAAGTATTGATGATTTAATCAATGACCCAATGTTGTGTATTGTGACACTAGTAATTGTGTGATTCAACATGTTTGTAAATTGTGCAAACATATGATTGTTGCTTACCATTGTTGTTATTTTACTGTTGGTTGTGGGTGCTGAAGACGAGCGAAGGGGTGCTGCAATGCAGCTGAGCGAAGAATCGCCTTGAAACTGCCAGTGTCGGACTGGTTCACTGGGAAAGTGGGAAAAGATCAATACCGGCCCGTGAGGTGGTGATCTGCGTGTATCCGACGATACTTCCAACAGGAGCGCTCGCGCAGTACTGCGCATAGGTTGTACTGCGAGTCAGCAAAGTGAAACAAGGCAGGAATTCATCCTGCTAACCTAAAATGTATATAACGACAATACCGACGAATTTTCTGTGAAATTTCCCTAGTGGAATATGTTCCAAAGATGTCGTTACATACACAAAACGCAGGAATATGCAGGAGGCATTTAAAACTCCAAAGAAAGTTTTATTTCTGTTCGGGCTAATTTTTAAAGGCAGTAAATAGTGTAAAGTTGGTTGCATATATCAGGGCGCAATTTTTTGCCATAAATTGAATTGAATTTAACTATCGTATATTTATTTTCCAGTAATGCGTATCAAATTAATTGCTTATTTTACATTGTTATAGAATATAAACCATACTTGCCATAGTTTTGGATTATAATCTGTGCGCCATTTCTTTGTTTGTCTGCTTTAAACAGAAAGTTATTTTCTGCGTTGTTCCATTGAAAAATTAAACGTTTATTATGCAAATTACAGTTATAACGTTTGGAAATCTCCAGACTGTAAGATTTTTAATGCTTTTGTTATGAAACTTTGCCATTAAATGGATTAAAACAACGAAAACTCTTGCAGCAAAGCCAGAAAACAATAACAGATTAAATTCCGAACACCCCTGGTTATGATTTTATTCAAGTACTCGGCTTTTATTCTATTATCATGATAAAATGTGCGATTAAATTTTTATTGCACGTTTCTTTTATTGAGTATTTTTATTGTCATCTGCCATTAGTATACCTGAACATAAACCATAATGTGCCGTGTGGTGTGGAATGATATCAGAGGGAGGTGCCCGTAATAATATTTTCTGAAATGACTTGAAACAAATACTCAGATTTTATGATGTTGTAACCAATCGCCTTCTTCTATTAGCGATGAAAACCTACGAATCAATATTTGCTCGCTTCGATGGGCTTAATTGTCGTCGTTAAGTTGATTAAATCTGGATCGCTTCGGTATCGAATCAATCATCGATCGCATCGTGCGTGGCTGTCGTTTGTCGCTGTTTGAGTGCGAAGAAACGGGCGGAACGTCGTTGCTGGAGCAGTGGCTGTAAAATTGTGCAGGCGGTGCCAGCCGAAGAAGACAAATCGTAATGCGACATGAGATAATGATACGGGTGTGAGTTGAAGTATAAGTTTGAGTCATTTGAGTGTAATCTGGTGATGGAATCCGGCGACGGTCAAAATGACGGCCATTTGCATTGCCATTGGGGTCAGATTCCAATTTTGCATTTACTTAAAATAAGGATACAAAAAAAAAACAAATACAAGTGATATAATAACATTTATAATTCAATTGCAAGTATAAAACACTTGTTTTGAATTGTTTCATTTTGCTTGTTTATTTTGTCACTAAAACAACTTATTACAGCTCTTTGATACACTATATACTTACCCCCATTTTATGTTATTATTTGACAAGAAGACGTGCTTTAATGATGCAATTGAGCCGAGAAGCTTCTGCGAAGGTGGCGATAAAAACAAATCGAATTCGATTCGGACGTAAAAAAGTTTTAAAAAGCGCATAAAACGAATTGCACTCGGCCACGATTTGTTTGCTCGATGTGTGTTCAAATGTTTGCGCTACTCGTCGCCGTATTTGCGTTTTTATAGTTCGTCGCCTCTCGGCCGTAAAAAAAACTACAATTTGTGCAAATTGACTGTGCGCTATACAAACACACACCTCCCCCCTCTTCTAAGATGTGTATTGCGTTGCACACTAAGCTAAAAAAATACTACAATGGCCTACAAACAAAAACGACAATTTTGTAGGTAGTTCTTGTACGCATTAATGGTTACGAGCTGGGTGACGAGCGTCATGGGTGCAATTAACTTTCGTTAACGTGGTATTGTGGAAAATCTAGCAATAAAAGAAAATAGCGTACAACAATAAATTCCCCTGCGACGTGTTATGCAGCACTACATTTAATATTTCTGCACCAGGCGGCAGTTATATAGTTAGCATTTAAAGTTGTCTAATTTTATAATTATGCCAACGACAACCTTGAATAATAGCCGATTGGAAATGTGAATTGAACACAAGTGAAGTGAACTTAAATTAGATTTGCAAAGTTTACCGTTTCCATTTCGCGTCTGTGTTCGCGACTTTGCGATTGTCGCAGGGTAGCAAGATGGCAAAAGCAGGCATGGAATCAATTCGTCACGTATTCAACTTTCGACTGGTTTTGTTCTAATATGCAAACGCTTCCAAAGTTTCTAAGTAGATTAAAGTCATTAAGTTATCATAGTATATTACAGGTACTTAGAAATTAATTTAATTAATGGTTTAAATTAAATTTTATAATAACTCTTACGTTTTATATTGCAATGCTTGAGATACAATAAACAGTATGTACTTGTATCAGATCTACAACGCCATCTACATTTGAAAACTAGAAGTTATTTGGAAGCTTACATACCGTATTGTGTGACTGTTTACATCAAGAGCAGAGTGGCGCAGTGGAAGCGTGCTGGGCCCATAACCCAGAGGTCCGTAGATCGAAACTACGCTCTGCTAACTTTTTTTTCTTTGTTCTATATATTTAAAAAAATATTGCAAACAATATTTTAACGATGACATTTTCGTTTGAACATCAAGCGTGTATTATAGTTTAAGTTTTTATTAACTGAAAATGTGTCGTGAGACTTTAATAGAAAAGTGAGCGATGGTAAAATGGAAAGCGGAAAACCCCGGAAAAGTGTAAACACAAACGGCGAGGTTGACAATGTTGACAGGTTGATACATGGACGAAGCTTACGAGGCTTTTATCGCTAAATTAAATTTTTCCCGAGTGTATAAATATTCCATTCTTGAAGGATTTTGGGATGCAATGCATAAACTACAATAGAACGTGAAAAAAAGTTATATGCAACTAAATATACATCATGCCACAATTTATTAACTCTTAATTTAGGAATAATCAGTAATTTAGGTAACTATTCTACGTGAATCGAAGTGCAAGTCAAGTATTAGCTTTCAAAACGAATAAAAACGATAAAAATCGACGATAAAATCCATTCGTGAACCAGTCAAGAAAAATAATGATGATGACGGCCATTAGAATCACACATGAGTATAATTCCTACACATTTTACAACTGAAAATCTTTCAAATTCAAGATGACATCACTTTTTATTGTAAAACTCATCAAAAACCAATCTGTAATAAAGCCACCATTTTGTTTTTGTGATCATAAACATTCTACAAAATATTACCATTAATCAAACTGTTAATTGTCATTCTGTTTGTGTTAAACATAATTTACTTGCGTATGGGTTACGTTTAGGGGTTAGATTAGTCGCCGCCATATTTATGCAAATGACCCGATTGATTACGCAATTTACTCAATCATTAATGCCGATTTGCATAGACGTGTGGACCCGCCAACATGTCAAACACCCTTTCACCCTTTCACCTCTTACCCTTAATTATACTTTTGTCCTCTACAGTGGAAATGATTAGTGCTCGAACGAAAATGAAGCATTAATATTAGCGGGTGGATAAATGAAGGGAAAACGCTGAGGTAGGGTTGAAAGGTGGTGAAAGATGACCGAACGTCTGGTAAATCGACTCGGTGTTAGAAATTCTAAACGTTTGCATGTAAAGGCAAAGGTGAGGCTGAAGGTAAATGTAAAGTAACGATGTTCAAGTAGCATAGGGTTAACCCGACACTAAAACGGATGAAAACTGGAGATGAGGTGACGTCCAGGGGTTACTGAAGCTTATAAAATTTGCTAAATTATACTAAATATTAAAAATAACATGTATATTAATGAAATACACACACACACTGTAAATACAGTAAGTGTATGTGTATAGTTGGTTGCCTGTTTGTTGACTTGGCAAATTCAGAGGGTTGATGGTTAATTTCATGAATAAACATTTTGCAATTTACAAAATCAAGTAAACAAGTATATTAAATTCGTACACATTGAGATACACTGCAATCACTAAATTGTACTTTGCATGCTTTTTATTTATTTTCTCTTTTATCTACCAAAGGTGTATTGTACAAGATAAATAATAAAGTATGCTAAAAGGGGTAGCACCAGACAACACAACTCAACAGTAACGCATCGCACAGTGAAACAACGCAACATTTGGAAATCCAGTATTTATACCCTTTCTGCGTTCCACCCTATTCTCTTATACTGATGCCAAGCTTTTGCTTCACGCACCAAATGCGAATGTGGAGTGAAACTGTGGAAGCAAGATTACTTGAGTTCTCGCATCCACTTTATGCTTTTATCGTATTAATTATTTACTGTTAATTTATTTGCATTCCATACACTCATTCACCCTTACTTTTCACCCCATACTTAGTCATTTTTATTGTCATTAGTGTCATCTATAATATAAAAATAAATCGCAAAATGAGTTGGTAAGCGCATAACTCAACAACGTCTAGACCAATTTGGCCAATTCTTTTTTTATAATGTTTGTTAAAGTCCAAGGATGATTTTTACGGCGAGAAGAATTTGAATAATTGCCGGGAAAACCCTAAAGACCACACTTTTATATAAGATGAAAGTTGGCATGGAGATTCAATCATAGTTATAGTTATATAGTTGAATCCGAGATGGCGCGCTGAAGTGCATTATTAGCAATTCTTTATTTAATTAATTTCTTTAAAATAAAATTGGAATCTTATTGATAGAATTGACACATTTTATGTCTAGAACAAGAGAGTAAAAACAAACATTTTCATTAAACACTACCGGGACAAAGTCGCGGGCTAAAGTTAGTAATCATAAAATTAGTAAAAAGTAACAGCTATTAAAAAAAAACTTACTATAACCCAAAGTTAAACAGAAGCTGAAGTTCAAGTCAAAGTCGAAGGCTAAACATAATTAATCCTCATGAAAAACACCTTAAGGACTGTGTTACTCATCATCCTTGCATCCGTCCAGGCGCGTAACAGTGTTGCTGTATAACTCATTAATCTTGGGATTTTTTTATGTCGAATCACGTCCGAAATTCAGAAACTCAGGATAAACTGATACTGATGTAATATTACACGTACTTTAAAACGGTGTTTCAAGGTATTTGCAGATCGCAGACAAGTAAGATGAAAAATATACAAAGTAAAAGAAAA